TTTGATATTCATATAGATATATTTATATATTATATTTATAATCTGTGCAACTCAACACACTCTCTTTAATGAATAAATAAAAGAAACATCAATAAGATTACCAAAGGAGTTTTATTAGTTCATCAAAAGTAGAATAAATAACATCTGGATTAACAGGAGGGATTTAAAACACACACACACACACACACACACACACACACACACACACACACACACACACACACACACACACAGAGAAAACAGACTTACCCTAACCATAACCCATAACGCACAAAATGTAAGGTGCAGTACTTCATGCAAGAACAGATAATAAAAAACAGTAAACATGAAACAAATAACCATAAAATGATCTGTGATATATACACATTCAGAGTGTTAAAAAGCAGTTCCAGAAGATCTCAGAGGCCCCACAGTTTGATATTGCACAAGCAGCTCAGTGGTATATGTTGGGGCTAAGACATTCAGATTGATAGATTTGATTTTGTGACACAGTTGAAAGACAGTAGTTTACAATGGAGTTTAATGCAGACAGAGGATTCATTAGTGTGTTTCCAAAGTGGAAACATCAAACAGAAATCCATCATGTGATAACTAAAGGGCTGAACATGACTGTGTCTCTCTCTACATTAATGCTTCTGTCAGCTCTGACTGACACTTAAAAAAGACTTTTACAAATTAGAAACAAGTACTCTGTAGAAAATAAAAGGTTTTGATGCCGCAGTAACATCACTGGAGTCCTCTTTTAATCTTCACTCTTTTAATCTGTCAAATCAAATTAAAAAATGAAAAGTTAAAAAAATATTAGAAACTTATTAGAGTTCATATTGGACATTATTCATTTTAATTTAAGTAAAGTCATTCATCTGTTTCTGGCAGCACTGAAATTTGACTATCTTATGGTACTTTATATTTGACTTGTGTCTTGAAATGAATACAATATGTGTGTATAAGAACTAGATTTTTTGTCCTTTAACACTCCCAACCTAGGGTTCCCGGCCCCCACTAGGGGTCACCAAAGCTTCACAGGGGTTGCAACACCTTCAAGTTCAATCAGTGACCACCTGTATTGTGTATCTTAACACATGTTGACATATTGGACCTACTAGTATTTGTTTGATTGTAATGAGGAAAATGAAGCTCTGATACAGGAAGAGCCTTTAAGATCCATGGCCCTTTCCTACACAAGTCTTATTTCAACAGACCTGACCCAACAATCCATAATGTAATGATGCTGCATTACGTATTTGCTCAATAAAATGCAATCAGTTTTTCTCCATTATGTAATAACACGCACATTTAAACAGCTTGAACACAATATGTAATAATTTCCCCCACATTTTATAATAATGATTATATATTGCAGTTGTTATTACAAAATGCTGGAGCTGCACTTTTTTATGATGCAATGTAATAATACGTTGCATTACTGGATGTATTCCTCAGTACACATTTTATATTTTTAACATAAACTTTCCCCTGTTGGGATGTACTTGTTGTGCCAGTTGTTAAAACTTAGAATTAATCCCACCTGCGTATAGTCATTGTGAAATTGCCTGAATGCACGCTGAAGAAGGACATATTGCCCAAAGCATCTGTGTGGTAATGTTAAAGAGTTAGATGGGAGTGCTTTCCTTCATAACATACATTTCTCAAATACCTATATATACATATGACCTGTGGCACCCCGTTTGGCTTTACAGTTGACTCTGATGTTAGTCTAAATAGCCACATAAAGACAAGACCAGCTTTTTATCATCTTACAAATACAGACAAACTCAGGGACTTCAGACCATCAGAAAGCTTCAGCTTATTCAAAATGCAGTAGAGTTCTTACGGGGGCCGAGGTTAGACCACATCATCCTAGTTGTTAAGTCAGGTTTGTCAGCTGCACAGACAAAGATGAGCAGTGGCCATAGTCAAGGTACAGACTAACAAAAGCTGTTTATTGTACTATTTTTTTAAATCTCCATCAGTTCAAATCACTGATTTCCTTGTAAAAAGTTAAACCTGATTGACGTACTTCTATTTATTCACATTTGATGTCCTTATTCAGTAGACTGTAAGACGAAACTCTTGCAAATGAACTCATTCCCATATATCATTAAAGGATCGTGAGAAATTTCCAATTCTAGGAGGCGCTTAATACTGTTTCCTGAGGTCGGGTTCAGGGGTCCCAGAGATGTTCAGGGGTTGTGGGGAGTAACACATTTATAAAAATGACCAGGGGAGAAAGAACCAAAGACAGTTTACTTAAATCCAAATAATGATTTTTATTATCAGTTAACAGAAAATTGATACTTACAACAATAAAACGGTTGGAGTAAGCCATTTGTTCCTCGTAAACTCAGATCAAGAAATGTTTCCATCACATTCAGAGATTAAATTCTTGTCATTGACGTCAATACAACACAAGGGACAGAAGCAGTCTGTTAAAAAGTATTTAAGGAGTTACCCAAAAACAAACACTGTATCAAGATCCTAAATTAACATCATTTTACTTAATATTTAAACATAGTATTTCAACACACCTGTGAGCGCTGCTGTCTTTTAGCATTATACTGTACATCACAATGAGTCGCTCACTTGAGTGCACTGTCTAAACCTCATGGAGGTTTTGTAAAATCCCATGAAACAAATATTGTGATCAATCAACTGTGTGCATGCATGTGTAGGCCTACGTGTTACATACTGTACAAGCAAGTCAGTGATATATGTTGGGACTAAGCCATTCAGTGATCTTTATACACTGAGATTTTGTGACACAACTGGAAGACAACAGGGGTTCAGTTCAGTCATTAGTAGTGCAGTGTTTTAAAAGAAGCATTGAAAGAAACATCATACAGTCCATGATGTGAGAAATAAAGGGTTGGATATGACTGTGTCTCCCATGACTGGACTTCTTCCTAATTACCAAAGAAAGATGAGTTCTAGTACCTAATAATATAAATTATACTATAATATAAAAAAGTCTTCTACAAATGAGAATAAAGTGCTCTCTGGAAAAGAAATGGTTTGGATGCCACGGTAACGTCATTGGAGTTCTCTTTTATCTTCAGTGGGAACCTGTAAAAACAGATTAATAAATGAAAAGAGAAATCAAAGTTCATGCTAAGTTTATACTAAGTGATTATCTGTTTCTGACAGTGGTGGAACTTCATTTTATTTTTATTTTATGCTACTTTATACTTCTATATATAAACTGTACATAAAGCAGTAAAAACTAGCTCCACCTGTAATATTGTATCATTTTTCATCATAACAAATACTTTTAATACAGTAGGATTTTGAATGCAGGACTTTGACTTGTAACAGAGTATTCTTACATTGTTGTGTTGGTACATGTACTTAAGAAAAGGATCTGAAAACTTTTTCCACTTTTGATTTCTGGAGTAGTATCATAAAACCCCAGAGCCATCTGCTTCCTGTAGTTATAATGGATGGACTGAGAAAATTCTTTCTCATGCAGAATGTTTTTGTGAATTAGAAACATCAGCTGCATGTAATTCAGGTGGGAAGAATATTGTACATTATGTCAGTGAACATAATATGTGCACAGCCTTGTTGAAACAATGACATACTCACTGTGATCAGTCAGGAGCTGGAGTTTTGTCCAATGGCAATGAGGAATCTGAAGCTAGAAGCAAAAAGTGAAATAAATTTAAATTATATAATTATAAATGAGAGACAGGAATGTATGAAGATGAATGATTGATTATTAATACTCAGGAGTAAATAATGACAGTCACATTAAAGTCTTCATAATAAAATAATAAAACAAATATATTTTGTTTTTCATAAAAAAAAACTTACTGTTTGCAGCTCTGAATCCTGAAATACAGATGAGAGATTAACAAAGTTAAATCAGAATGTATGACAGGACACAAAATAAAACACATTTATAGGAAGAAATTCCTCATGAATATCACCGATCTCTGCTCTGAATAAAAATGTAGGAGAGCAACTCTTTCACGTAGTATATACAGTATAGTAAAGTACATAACATGTTCAATCCAGTGGAGTAAAAATGGCTTCACTCACCATTATTGTTCCTTCTCCAGATGAAGAGTCCAGTGATGCAGAGTGCCAGCAGCAGCAGTCCTACAACAACTCCAATAACAGCACCAGCAGGAAACTCTGAGGGAGAAACTGGAGCCAAAACAGAACATTCACACTTTGTCTCTCCCACTGGAAGGAGATAAATATGTTTAGTTTACAGGATTCACTTTAGTATTGAAGTATGAGGAGCAGATTGTGTGAATAAGACAGTAAAGTGAGAAACAGAATGTATTTCAGTCACATGAAAAGTATAGTTCTGGATTCCTTTGACACTTACATGTGTTTGAGAGCTCAGACCTTAGAATCTTGTTTCCCACTTACATGCTTGTGTGTTGTACTGATGTCATTGTGTCTCCAGATATTATTGAGGACTTTGATGAGTATAACGTTTTCATAACTGATAAAAATGACGGCCAAAACTATGAAAATATGACTCAAGTTGTAAACCAGATTAATACTCAATCTGAGGATTAAGATGTAAAATTAGAGTAAAGAGTAAACATCCGATCAACCCTTCTACAGTTGACAACAGCTACATAACAGTGGAGTTGACAACACAAGTTTTAGAACATAACCTTTGTAGTTATGATGGAGGTCTAGCTTTAGTGGACAGACAAAACTATTTCCAGTCTTACCCCAGTTGGTCCTGATCTCTGCTTTGTCCAGTTTGGTGACGATGTCGTTCTTCACACCAGAGAGCTGAAACACACAGTCGTACCTCCTCCAGTCTTCAGGTGTGACTGATGAAAGGTTCAGGTCAACACTCATCTGGAAGGATCCATCGTGGTTGGGGAGGATCTCTCCGTGGTCCACGTCCTCATGAATCTCCTCTCCATCTTTCCTCCAGAACATCAAGGCTCTGTCAGGGTAGAAACCTGTAGCGTGGCAGCTGACTGGAGAGGAGGGAGTCTTCTGGAGGAGAGACACTGAGGGAAGGTCTGGAGAGAGAGAGAGAGAATGTGGCAGCAAAGTACTCAAACACAGTGTCAATATTCAGTGGAACTATTTCTATTTTGAAACACTGAAACTCTGTAAACTGATTTAAGTCATACTAAAACACTGACTGTCACAGTATCAGCTTTAATTGAAAGTAACCTCAGAGCACCCAAAAATGTCTCTACTGACTGGTTAGGACTAAATCAAATCTTACTGCACAGAAAACTGTCATAAGGTAATGTCACACTGATTGATGTGATCATACAATGGCAGTTCAGTCTGAGCAGATTATAGGAACATTGTTGAGTTCATGAAACTAAATCAGGTCATGTGATTCTACCTTTTCTCTGCAGAGAGCTGTTTCCATAGGCCACATACTTCTTCAACCACTCAGGGAAAATCTCAGTGAGGTAATTCTCATTGTATTTTATTCTAGCTTTGTCAGTATCCCATCTCAGTTTGGTGGTGACAGCCTGAGGTTTCAGATTGATCCATGTCAATGTCTTCAGGTCAAAAGATATGAAGTCTTCTCCATCATAACCATACTTATTAAAGCCATTAACCTCTCCAGTCTCATCATCCCACTCACATCCACTCATCCTCTGTAAAACATGGACACCTGAGAGAGAGACAGAGACAGAGACTGTAATTAACAACGATGTACAGATGAAGATGATCTCACAGATATTGGGCAGTGTGTGTTGCACTTCTATTTTCATCTTCATCTCGTGGTGTGTTCATGATTCAAGAGCAGATAAGTGTACTTTTTCTTTATATGAGTGATGAAACCCAATTTCTGTTACACATTCTTTTCTTTTGTCGACCATGAACTACAACATCCCTGGTCGGGCCAGCTGAAGACTTTTGTTGTGTCTGTCTCCCCCTCATTTTCCTTATTCCCTTAACTGCTGCTTTCTAATGAAGGCATACAATTAAAATAAAATGTCACCTGCTAAAACACCTGCAGCATTGGATGCAGTTGAGTGACCACACAAGACTGACCAGGAACTCATTGAAACATAGTTATTGTGTAACTTCTATTACTAACTGGGAAAGGTGGGAAGCTGCCAAACTTCAGGGAGCCTGAAAGCTCCGGGCTTATTGCAACCCTTGTTGTGTCATCTAGTAGTAAAAGGCCTTTTAGAGCCAGGTATGACAGTTGCTTTCTACTGACTGCAAAACTTTAGTGCTTGATGAGAAACACCGGACTGGCTACTTTCATTAGTCTAGAGAGGTGGATAAAGTTAGTTCCAAATGTTCCAGATACAATATCAGAATCGTACGTAGTTAGTATGTTATTATTACAACACAAAACTCGAGTGTGAAGGTGTGATTCTTGGACTGAAACCTGTACAGATGGATGTTAAGCCCCTTCAGTCAAATTATTTGAAGAAATCAATGAAGAAAGTGAAGGCTGTACTTTTTCTGTGTGTGTTTGTAATCGTGAGGATATTTTGACTATAGATGGATGTTTTGAATTTCTCAGTATGATGAGTAGTTTGTGTTGGACAGAGCAAACAAGTCTAACCAGGACCTGAGTTATGGATTACATGCTGACTGGCAGCTAGTGGTTCCAGGTTTTCAAAGCAATGTGATGGCGGTCTATTTACTTTACAACTAAGATGCAGAACAGTTTAACAGTAAACAGTGAAATATAACATAGTGGGCTACATACTGTACCTCCACTTTGGTTGAAGCGCTGCTTCAAATTATTAATTCTGGCTTTGAAGAAGAGTGGCTTCTCTGAACACTCTGTAGTGTACAACTCGAAGTGCTGAGGATCATCTTCAAATAATTTTTTCACCCAGTCCTGTTTTGGTTCTACTATCTTTTTGTTGCTGTCGCAGTAACCGGACAGAATATCATCAACCACTCCAGCAGCCACAAACTCTGGGAAGTTTGGGACTCCAGAAGATCCAGTGAAGATAAACTTCAGGGAGTGTTTCACTGCAGGACAAACAAGGTTTAATACATTTATACACACACACATAATTTAAATATGATGTATGCTATTCAGAATGATTCACATTCCCAACATACAGTCTTATCAAGTTGAAGTGAAAGTGAAACTAAATTCTTGTTTGTCTTTAGCAAAATGCAATAAAATAAATATGTTAAATGTGATCTTACCTGCTGATGAAACGTGACACAAGAGAATCAACAAAAAGACGTGTTTCATTGTGTTTTTGGTTAAGACTTGTGGGTAAAGAGGAAGCTGGGTCGCTGTGGTTTCTACTGTTCATTTCCTCCCGTCTAGATAACTGTAACTCTCTCTAAACGTGCCTCAGTCAAGCTTCGTTAAATCGTTTACAGTTAGTCCAAAATGCAGCCGCCACACTTTTAACCAGAACCAGCCGTCGGTCCCACATTACTCCTGTTCTCACATCCCTTCATTGGCTTCCGGTAGAATTTAGAATCAACAATAAGATCTTACTTATTACATATAAGGCACTTCATGACCTTTCCCCCAGTTACACTTCTCTCTTGTCTTATCTTCCTTTGTTTGTATTTACATGCTCCCTATGCTTGTTTGATTGGTTATGGTTATACCCTTATGTATATGTCTTGTTTGTAAAGCACTTTGGATCTCTGTTTCAAAAAGGTGCTATATAAATATAGCTTTACTTACTTACTTACTTACATACTGTAATGTGAGCCGCCGAGTGCGGAACCGTGGTAAAGGGAGCCGCTGTCAGAATGTCGTTGCGCCTAAAGGTTTATTACGGTAAGTGAGGCCAAAAAGATGCATATACGCGTTTTCTGTCATGTCGCAAACCATATGTACAATTTGAGCTTATTTTACTGTACTGTTTGTTTGTTTGTTTGTTGGTTTGTTTAGATAATTAAGGGAAATTTTTGTTTTACTAATCATCATGAATTCCTCATATTGGGACTTAAACTACATCAGTAAACTTAAAAAAAAAATAGTAAACTACATTAGTAAAGCACATTCATATTTGATGTCAGTAACAATATTTATTATGTAGGCTTTTTGGACAATGCATTTATGAATTATTTTACTGTAACATATCACACAAATTATTAATTTTTTAATGCAGCACTTGAACAACAGTATTACAGATGTAATGATAACACACAGGCTTCTTGGACTTTTATTGCTCACCTATGAGACTAAAAGCATTAAAATCAGAGAGGTGTTGTGGTGCTTTGGCTCCAGTCGTGAAGGGCTGCTGTTGCCACCAGATGTCACTGTGCTGCTGCATTTGAAGCCCCAAAGCTCCAGACGGCTTCATCCACCTCTCACTAGTTGTGACTTCACTAAGAACGAGTGATATGTATTGGAGCAAGAGCATCCATTACTAATGATCTTAAAACAATCTATTTGTGACAAACTGGTGAAAATACAGCCTCTCTTTTTATCACTCTCAAAGACACCACCTCCCTCAACAAATGCTAGTTTCCCCTTCAACCATCGTCCCCTTTATGCTACTTCCAACAACAACAACAACAAAAATCAGTCATAAATTCATGAAAAAAAAGTTTAAAAAAAAAGATTATTCATTTGTATGATGAATTGTGGAAGAATTCAACAGCCTCACTGCCTGAGGGAAGAAGCTGCTCTGCAGTCTGGTGGTCCGGCAGCAGAAGCTTCTGTACCTCTTCCCAGATGGCAGCAGGGTGTGTCTGGGGTGGGTGCTGTCTTTTAGTATCCTTTGGGCTCTGTGCAGGCATCTCACCTCAGCAGTATCACTGATGCTGGGCAGCTGAGTACCAATGATCTTCTGGGTGGTTTTAATCACCCGCTGCAGTGTCCAGAGTGCTGAGTTGACCGAGGGAGAATGTGTTGTTGAATGCTGAGCTGAAGTCATCCTACACCACAAACTGTACAGTGATATCACTCTTCTCAGCTGTCAGTCCTATAAACTGGCATCAGGACATGTGTGCTCACATCAACTTTGGACTAAAGAAAACTCACTGTGCATAACTGATCATAAAGTTCCAAGAAAACAGCCACCGTCAACATGTTTCACACTACGTACAAAGTGAATGTCACATATAAATGGAAATAGTCTCAAACACAAGGTTTAACATACTTTAAAGATTTCAACAAAAGCTTTAATTACAGATGAAAATAATATACAAGCAGAATATTTATAATAAGTTTTGATCATATTCTATATTGGGTAGAAGGAATTATGAATCAATGGATTATTCTGAGCAAACAGGACTTTGTCTCTGAAAAGATGAAAATTATTTTAGGATTTCACAAAATAATTTATTCAATATTTGAACACACCTTATCGTATTTGAGTGTAAGCCAAATTCTGATATCACAAATGCAAATGCAAACACATCTACCTGCTTGGTTTGATATCATTAGAGGTAATTTTGTGAACCACAAACCTGAAGAGACGGAGAGAATAATCACATAAAACAGAATTAACTTCATCAGAAATATTTGGAAAGTTCAATTCAACGAAGGTTATAACATTGTAACAGTACCTGAGGATTCTGATTTCAATGAGATCTAAAATATTCACAATCTTACAACATTTTAACAGATGGCTGCTTTTAAAGGATTATTCCTTCAATTTATTTTCTAATGTGAGCATCAATGCCTTATTTAGCTAGTTTTCCTCTTTATAATCTCTAATCTTTATCTACCGTTGGTCGTAGGAAACCAGCTCTTTGTCAGATATTTTCTTTGCAGCTTTAAAGTGATTCAGAGGTTTTACAGTGAACGACAAAACAATATTAAACTGCTTTAACTGGAGGTGTTGGGTTCACTGTTTTGTTGTCCCACATGACGTCACTGTGTGCAGGGTGGTGTGTTTGCTCGTGATGTTTCTGGATTCAGTTTCTCAGAGAGCTCAGTGCTGTTTTCAGGAGCTGCAAGGTCAGAAACACACTGTTAGTCCTCTTCTCCTGCACTGAACTACCTCAGCTCACAATGTAAAGAACGTGTCAGAGACAATAGAATAAAAACAAGTTCTACTTACGACGTGGAGGGCGATTGGCTGAAATAAGAAGAAAAGATCAGAAGAGTTTAAAATGCCAGAAAACCTTTTGTCTCATTTTCCCTTCTGAATGTAATTCTGTCATATAAAGTGAAACTCTTTAGATTCATATGTTATTAAAGGTTTCAACTCGGCTCATTCTAGTCTCTCACCTTTCTTCTTTTTGTAAACGATAAATCCAATCGCAGCAATGAGGACGACAGCAAGAACAACCACTGTAGCAGTAATCGGGATGGTGATGTTACTGGGCTCCTCTGCTCAGCAAAAAACAACACAAATAAACAAAAATGATCACAACATGTGAAGATGAAGCAGGTTAGAAAAGATCTATCCATCTGTTCATCACACATTCACATTGTGAATAGAGTATAACACAGTAGTCACTGGTGTGTGTGAGCAGAAATATACAGCATTTAAAGGACACAGCTTACTTCAGCTTACAGGGAAAATCTCAGTAACTAACTTCTCATTGTATTTTATTCCAGCTTTGTCAGTATCCCACATCAGTTTGATGGGTACAGCCTGAGGTTTCAGAGCGATCCATGTCAATGTCTTCAGGTCAAGAGATATGAAGTCTTCTCCATCATAACCAAACTGATTAAAACCATTAACCTCTCCAGTCTCATCATCCCACTCACATCCCAATATGTCCTGTAAAATGTGGATACCTGAGAGAGACAGAGACAGAAACAGAGACAGTAATTAACAATGTACAGAATACAGATGAAATCTCCAGTGGAAAGATGATCTTATAAATATTGTGCATTGTGTGACACTTGTGTCTTGTGGTGTGATCATGATTCAAGAGCAGATAATCAGTGCACTTTATCTGAGTGATGAAACCCAATTTATTTTCCACAGCTAAAAGTTACAATAGTAGCTACTGTTGTATGAACTGACAGATGACTGTCAGTGGCAGTATACAAAGTGGGTATGTTGAATTATATGCACATTGAACTCTTATTAAAACAAAGTCACACCTGTGTGACACCTGCAGTCTCAGATGCAGTCCAAGTTCAAATTCATTAATATGCACATGTTAGCTATCCTATATCTGTGTGTCAAACAACAAACCAGGCTGCAAATCATTTTAGTAGTAAAAGTAAAATATAATATACATAAATACTTTACCTTCACTTTGGTTGAGGTGCTGCTTCAAATTATGAATCACCACTTTGAATGGGTTTGGCCCTCTCTCAAAACACTGCTGAGTGTACCACTCAAAGTGCTGAGGATCATCTTCAAATACTTTTGTCATTCAGTTTTGGTTCTAATATCGTTTTGTTGCCAATCGCAGTAAACGACCAGACTTCCATCAACCTCAGCAGCTGCCGCAAGCTCTGATATGTTTGGGACTGTTTTGAGAAGGCTCAACCACATCAGGAAGAAGCAGGGGCCAGCGGCGAGGGACCAGCAGACAACACCAGAAGCAAGACAAAGCTGGAGGACGGACAGAAGAAAGAGACAGTTTGGTATGACACCGCCTCTGAACTGCTGTGCCTAATGGTAGAGGTAGCGGGACCTGGAGGTGTGATGTTGGTCCATCGTCCTTGGACAGAGACAGACCTCATCGACGCCGTCGCTCACCTGCCCCGGCCAGAAAATGAATTTGAACATTTCTGCAGAGACTATAGGCCAACCATGAGAGAAATACAAAGGATGTTGCAAAAGAACTTTGGGACTCATTATCACAGAATCAGGGGCTATTTCACTGAAGCCAGAATGCCCCTGCGTATGAAAAATCCAACATGGGATGATGATGACAACCAAGGATATCAGGACTCAATAACAGCACTCTGCACAGAGATTCAGACCACGTTCCCAGTTCCACAAGACATGACCGCTCTGGAACTGATGAATCAGGGCTCAGACGAGGCTGTGGGCGTATTCCTGGCGCGCCTCACTACTGCCTTTGACTGTCATAGCGGCATGCAGCGCCCAAATACAATGGGAGGCTCCCCACTCACAGCTTATGAATCAGACTCGAAAAGCCTTTTTCTAAGCAGAATGCACCCCTCAATGGCAGATGCATGCCATTTTTCTCCTTACCGTTCATCCTGAAAGTCAATATTGGTTTGCATTCACCTTTCAGGGGCGTAGCTACACCTGGACCAGATGTGCACAAGGGTACTCGGAAAGTCCAATGTATTTTCATCAGCAGCTGAGCCTAAATTTGCAAAATTTTGAATTTCCATCAGGTTCTGTCTTATTAGCTCATGTAGAACACCTTATGGTGGCCAGCCCCTCAGAGGAGGCATGCAAAACAGACACGGTTGCACTATTAACATTTCTGGCTAACAGTGGTCACAAAGCCAGCTTGTCTAAATTGTAATTTGTTCAGACAAAAGTAACATACCTGGGATATGTGATCACAGCAGAGGGCAAATCCCTCTCTCCCAAACAAATTGCAGGATCCCTATTATTCAGAGCGAGAGGCACCCCTCTCAGCTACAGTCCATGGCAAAAAATTGACAGCTCATGGCAAAATTACATGGACCCCAAAAGAAAAGGCCTTTGTAGATTTGAAAAGTGCACTCATAAATGCTCCAACACTTGGCTTACCAAATCCAAATAAGCCATTTGTACAGTTCATCGATCAAAAGGGTGGATATGCCACTTCTGTCCTCTGCCAGAAACATGGAGATAAACTCAGACCTGTTGCTTATTTCTCTACAAAGCTGGATCCAGAAGCAACAACAACCCTCCCTGCCTTAGAGCTGTAGCAGCTGCAGAGAAGGCAGTGATAGCCTCTAGAGATTTAGTAGGCTATTCTGAGCTCATACTTATGGTACCACACGCTATAGCTCACATTTTGCACACACAAGATGCTGTCTGCGCAGCGCTGGTTGAGATAACACACCACATTGTTGGAAATGCCTAATGTCACTGTCAAACGATGTTCTACTCTAAATCCTGCTTCTCTCCTCCCAACACAGGAAGATGGCGATGACTCAGAGAACTTTCATGACTGTGTGCAGATTCTGGAGGAAGAGTGTTCACCAAGGGTTGATCTGTCAGACACACCTCTCCCAAACGCTGACCTTGAGTTGTTTGTAGATGGTTCTGCATCAAGAGACAAAACAGGCGTCAATCAAACAGGTTTTGCTGTTGTCACTCTGCATGCAATTGTAGCATCAGGCAAATTACCATCTCATTTTTCAGCACAAGCTGCAGAGCTAGTAGCGCTCACCAAAGCATGCAAACACGCTGAGGGCAAAATAGTGAACATCTACACAGACTCTCATTATGCGTTTGGGGTGGTTCATGACTTTGGCGCCCTTTGGTGACACAGAGGTTTCCTCACCTCCTCTGGAAAACCTGTAGCTAATCACCACCTTGTTTCTGATCTTTTGGGTGCTATAATGTTGCCAGCAACAGTATCTGTGATGAAATGTGATGCTCACACTAATAACTCTGATCCTGTGTCTGTAGGAAATGCTGCTGCAGATGCAGCAGCAAAGGCTGCTGCTGTGAAAAGTGACATGTTTCACATCCTCTTTTCCTCCTCACAGCCTGATGTTAACCCATGTGCTGATCTCCCCACCATCCAACAACTGGCTACCGCCGCAGAGAAGGCGCAATGGTCAAAAGCTGGAGCCACATTTTCTAACAAAATTTGGTTCAGGCCTGATTTAAAACCATGTTGCCACATGCCCTCTTTCCATTCTATGCTAAACTAGCACATGGAAAGGACCATGTGGGCAAAGGGGGAATGAGTATAGCCATAAATGCTAACTGGTATACCAGAGGGTTTTCAACTTTTGCCTCTGATTACTGTAAAAGGTGTGTCACATGTGCAGCACACAATGCTGCGGGAGCTCCTAAGGTTATGCAGCACGGTCATGCTCTTCCCCAAGGCCCTTTTCAATACTGGATGATGGATTTCATAGAACTCTCACCATGTGAAGGAAAGAAATATTGTTTGGTGTTGGTCGACATGTTCAGCAAATGGGTTGAAGTTTTTCCTTCCTCCAAAAAGGATGATTAGCTTTGGATATCATTAATTTTTGTACCTTTTGCTGTTGCTCAGAGATGCCTATGTCTTCATTTTGTTATGAGATGTTTTCCCTAACGGGACTGATGACGTGGTATCTTAAATCTTGACTTGATATCACCGATGTTTAATTACCTGTGAGTTGTATAACCTTTAGCAGCATATGTTACTTTGATTACTATTGTCACTCTTTCACTAATGTTTATCACAACATTTAAAATGTTATTGCCAGTCACGACCAAAAATCTTTTATTTTTCTCTACTACTTAAGTGATCAGGTATGATCAAAAGAGGGGAGATGTAGAGGAAAAAATATCATTTAGTAAATAACCTTTGTATGAACTGTGATTTACTGTATTATACTGTTCTGTACACAGCATGACCAACTTTATTTCCTGTTGAACTGTACCCGACCTGATTACTATAAATGAATCAAATGAGGCATGACATGATGATAGGTTGAAGTATAGTCCAGCCTACACATGTCATGCTGACCTGCACTGGATGAATACAATAAACACCTGTGTAATGTAAGGTTGGAACATAGCCTGCTCTGGTTGAAATACAGCCAGGCCTGAAAATCTAAACTTTTATCCATTTTTGGTCTAAGACGGAAGCGGGCCTTTGCGGCCTTTATCTAATTGGTAGCGAGGTACTCAGCATCGATTCCTCGGCAGACGCTGACTGTCACTTTGTTGGTGCCGATGCTTCTGCACATAAGCTGAATAAATATACAAAGACAAATTTCTCTTTGTTTGGTTTTCCTTTATTTTCGGTCAAACTTCCACCACACAATCTTTTAGCCACTTCCCACATAATAATAGCAGTAATGAAATGACTGTTTAGTACTGTTCCTCCTTTGTGGATGGACATCAGTCAAAGTGAACGTTGGGCCATTTCCATGTTAGCAGATTGGAACCCTGAAACACAAATGAAAGATTAGTTATTATTATTATTATTATGCTCAGAATTTCAATATATAAAGTGCTATATCGAGCCCTATCACTGGAGATGTCAGAAATGTCATTTAAGACTATCAGAGGCACGTAATTAAAGAGGAAAGTAAAACTTGCATTGTTATGAAAATATTGTTCCTCACTATTATTTTTTCTTCTCCAGATGAAGAATCCACTGATGCCGACCGCCAACAGAAGCAGTACTACAGCAGATTTGATTAATAAAATACCAACTTGGGAAAGAAAACCTGGAAGTGAAACAACAGAACATTTACACTTGCATTGTTTGAATCTCAACAAGCCATGCTGTCTGGTTCTGAGGGTGGATATTGTTCTCTGTGTGAACTTTAAAGGATAGGTTCAGATTACATACAGATACATTACAGATATTATACTAGGTCCAAACTACAAACCACAGTCTGATTACTATTGAGATTTTTACATACAATACACTTACCAAATTATTACAATTAACATGTGTATTGCATTTGAATCACAATTTATATGATATACAAAAAACAAACTGCTTGTTGTTCTTCAGTGCCACTGCAATTACAGAGTTACAGCTGACTGCATTATTAAAGGATCATTGTTAGATGCACAGTATGTGAGGGAGAACTGCTTGTAATAGAAGGTTTAAGACAGCTATCTGATCAATCCTAGGTTAGGGATTACAATTTAAAGATCAAGGCTGATATAATTAACCTCTGTAGTTATTATCCAGGTCTTTTTTTAATGGACAACATAACTGATACCAGTCTTACCCCATGGAGAACTGCTTGTAATAGAAGGTTTAAGACAGCGAGACAAGACAAAGTGCTAAGCTTAGAACAGGTCGGATAGATGAGAGGAAGTAACACAGCAGTGTAGCACAAGACAAGAGGAAGTAAGACCATTGCTTAGCACAGCTGTGTGGCACTAACAACAGAATAAGGAGACGTTTTACAGCTACTGTTGGGTCAAAGAAGTGTGCAGAAATGCAATTGCTCCTATTATCGTATGGAAAGAACATGTAACTAGTGTAGCTGTAAGTATAAAGTAAGATTGTATGATCTTGTCCAGGCAGTCCAGAGGAATCCAGATAACCAGGAAGAGTAGGCAGAATTCTTAACACACCCATAAAAAGATGGCCCAGTGCAATGCATAGTGCACCAAAGGAAACTACAGTTCCTGTTTAAACCAGAGTGAGAACACATCACAACAGTTTACCACAGTGACAGTAGAGAAAGTGAATTCTATGGGAATTAAAAAATGTCAATGTTACTGACAAACCTGAAGAAATGAAGACGGTCACATCAGGTCAACAAAAGTTAAATGCATGTGCAGCATAGCGAGTAAAATAAACTAAATGTGGATTCCCACCGTCAATACTTCTGATCCCAGTTTTGCCCCAGTTGGTCCTGATCTCTGCTTTGTCCAGTTTGGTGACGATGTCGTTCTTCTCACCAAAGAGCTGAAACACACAGTCGTACCTCCTCCAGTCTTCAGGTGTGACTGATGAATGAAGGTTCAGGTCAACACTCATCTGGAAGGATCCATCGTGGTTGAGGAGGATCTCTCCGTGGTTCACGTCCTCATGAAGCTCCACTCCATCTTTCCTCCAGATGAGTGTGGCACTGTCAGGGTAGAAACCTGTAGCGTGGCAGCTGACTGGAGAGGAGGGAGTCTTCTGGAGGAGAGACACTGAGGGAAGGTCTGGAGAGTAAACAGAGAGACAGTTTATAGACAGTATTTAGACTGTATTAACTTATATTAACATTAGAATTCCTGTAATGTATTTTAAAGGTTTTAGTAACAAACACACAATATATACAGGCATGCAACACTATACACCGATCAGCCATAATGAGAATAATAGTATAGCCATCACAATTTGGCCTTTGTCAAAGTCGCTCAAATCCTGCTGCTTCGAACACATCAACTTTAAGGACAAAATATTATATCCCTATATGCCTAAAATATCCCACCCACTGACAGGAGCCATGATAACCAGATAATCAGTGGCATTCACTTCACCTGTCAGTGCTCTATTGTTATGAAGTGTAATTGAGAAAAAGCGGGAAGGACAGAGGAGAAAAAGACAGATGAAGAGAGGTCAGATCGATTACAAAGGGAGGAATGGGGGGACAGTGAGTGTGAGACAGACAGAGAGAAAGAGAGAGAAAATGGAGGTAAAGTAAAGATAAAGACAGGTGAGAGAGAATGAGAGAAAGAGAAAGACAGAGTGAGTCTCTGTATGTTGGTGATATTTATTGTGATGTTACTGTTGGTTAGAAACTGAAGAGAAAGATGAAGATTGTTGTGTCCATTAAACTACATCAGGTCATGTGATTCTACCTGTTCTCAGCAGAGAGTTCTTCCCATAGTCCACATACTTCTTCAACCAGTCAATGCAAATCTGGGTGAGGTATTGTTTTTTCTGCGCTATCTGAGCTTTATTATAATCCCACTTGTGTTTGGTGATGACAGCCTGTGGTTTTGGAGCAATCCATATCTCTGTCTTCAGGTCAAATACTATGAAGTCTTCTCCATCATAACCCCACTGATCATAACCATTAACCTCTCCAGTGTCATCATCCCACTCACAGCCGTACATCCTCTGGGCAACGTGGACACCTGAGAGAGAGACAGACAGAAACAGTATTAAACCAGAGTGAGATCACAGCACAGTCTTCTATCATCAGTTGATATCACATCTTTACCACAGAGACACACTGATCCACAGACACCAGCACAGAGGATCTACACCTCCTGCTGTTATTGGCTCGATGGAAGACACTCACAGACAATCATCATCTGGACTTCATAGTTGAATCTACGTGAATAAAACACACCTCACATGAAGAACTCAATGAAATAAACAAACCTCCAGTTTGGTTGAAGCGCTGCTTCCCAGTGTCAATGTTGGCTTTGAAGATCTGCTGGAAACCCAGACAGGTCTGAGTCTCCCTCTCCCAGTACTGAGGATCCTTTGCTGTGACTCTGCTCATCCAGTCCTGTTTGGGTTCTGCTCTCCTGGTGTTACTGTCATAGTAATCTATCTGAACTTCATCAACCAACCCAACAGTAACAAACTCTGGGAAGTTTGGGACTCCAGAAGACGCAGTGTAGAAATACTTCAGAGAGTGAGTCACTGTAAGAAAACATTAATGTAACATTTCAGTTTTATAAATCACTGAACAATGTTATTGTCCTGCAGACAGAATCAAAGAGAACTACAGTACATTCAAAACATCCTAATAATCTCTGTTGTGCAGTCAATAAACGCTATATATATATATATATATATATATATATATATATATATATATATATATATATATTTAGTTCCTGCAGTCGTGTGTCTGAATTTCATTGACAGAAAGAACGTTTGTAAAAACAGTCGTCCTTCTTTCTGGTGCTGATATCTCGATGTGAAGTGAAACTCCAGTTTAGTTTCCAGTTAGTGTTAGTCATTATCGTATTAGTTTGACTGACTCACTTGCTGCCGCGCCTTGTAGACTGATTCCCAGGAGAGCCAGAAACATCAGGGTCTTCATGGTGAGTTCAGACATTTTGATAAATGTCTTTAATGTGTATTCATACTGATAAAGAGTCACTGTGGTTCGAGTTCGAGCACCAAGGTTTAAGTGACACAGAGTAGTTGGTAGTGTAGCAGTGGTCTGCAGGAAGGCGGTGCCGGATGATCTATACTACCGGTGCATGTCATTATGAATTATATGGTACCAATGTCCACAGAACAATTTCTAAACCTTACAGTATCCATGTAAATTGTTTAACATATTAATGTTAATTACAGTTGTTGATTTTAATCATTTAATATTCCTTTTAAAACTAAAATCTAGTGTAAAATAAAAAAGCACTTCTTTGTGTGATGCTCCAACACTTTGAGATGAAATGATCCTGTAAATTATTTTAATCACACACACAATATCACAGCGCATTATACTGCGTCTCACTATGTAGGACTATGTGCTACTCCGCCACACACAAACAGAACCACAGCTGAGGTTGAAACTGAAAGTAAAAGGATCTTATTTTAGCCTGTGTGGGCAGACATGTAAGCAGGGCTTCATTCTGGTGTTTCAACTTCATATGAAAGGAGAATTAAATCTTCTGCTGCTCAGATTGTGTACAATGTTTTGTAGGTTAATGTGATGTAATGTGCAGAAATGTATTTTTCTCTGGGAGGTCAGAGGTCACTGTCAGCTACAGCTCAGACACTCTGCAGTTTGTGTGGATGCAGCAGGGTCTTATTGCTGTTTCAGAGCTCCCTCCAGTGATGTGGAGCAGTACAGTTTCTCAGTGTGTTATTATCTGTTATTTAAACACATCTGTGTGCAACACACCATCTGGTTATTAAATGAGACGGAGGAGAACATATTGTATCCTTATCGGAGTCCATATATAATAAGGTATTTTATTTATGTGTTAGTATGTTTCAGTTCAGGTCTACTCACTGGTCTTGGCACAGAATAGAGGACAACTATCAGAACAGACAGTATGATCAAACACACAATAGTTTATGTAAAGGTTGAGGTGCAAGTCAAACTAATTTCCAAGGGATAGTTTATCGCTATGTTAACATTATTACATTTAAAAGTTACTCTGCAGTTAAAGCAAAAGGCTGAAATAAAATGTTCCCTTATCTGAAGATGCAATGTGACAAAAGCAGCTTGATCACATTTGAGCTGATCTTAAGTTGAACTTCAGTTTTAAGTGAGCCACGTGTTCAGTTTTGAATGAATGGATAGATGTCATGAGCTATCAGCTGAGAGATCTGATGGGCAGAGAAAGTGACTTCTTGTATTTCTTTTGCCATTATGTGATATTCAGATATAATCTCTCTGGGCAGATCACAGTCAGACAGGTAGCAACAAATAGGAAGACAAGAGCTGAGTGTGTGACACTTTTCTTCATCACTATTTGGACACATGCACTGAGTGACAACTGTGTGTTTATTTTATTTTGATGTAGTTGTTTTCACCAACTTTGGTGAATTGAAATATAAGGACACAGAACTAATGGTTAAACTAATGATTTATTGGCATATTTGTAACATATCTGCAAATATGATCACACTAGAGCTCCATATACTACACTATAAACTTACTCAGATTACATTGATATAAGTTAAACAACCCTAACTATCACAGTTCAAGATAGAATGTGATTCATTCTAGTAACATACATAATAATCACCCCTTCATCCTTCCTCCATCATCATCTCATTCAATACACTCACTTAAATTCTGAAGGTGTGGAAACTCCTGACAACAGATTTTCTTCAGCAAATTCATTTCTGGTTCAGTTTTCAAGCTTATGTTGCTCTCTAGTGGAAGGTTACAGAAACACACATCTGGTCGATGTGTAATGATGAATGAGTGATTCTATTTATGTGACACAGAGTACATAAGGTCATGTGATTCTACCTGTTCTCTGCAGTGTTTTTCTAATAGTCCACATACTCAATTTCAGAAATGTACTAAAACCTTCTTCTTTTGTCTTTACGTTGTTTTTGTCATTTTCCTCATTATGTCGGTCATGTGTGATATGCAGCGGTTTTGATGCAAAAAAAAATAATAATCCATAATTCACCTGAAATGCATTAAAATTAAAGTAACAACTGTTTTTAAATTTTAAGCCATATGAAGTACAGATCTTTGGTTCAAATGTAAGGGGGAATAAATACTCAAGTAAAGTGCAGATACATGAAAACACTACTTAAGCACATTGATCAAGTATTTGTATTTCATTACTTTGCACCACTGGATATTGGTCATATTACAATGTTTAAGTACTAAACATATAAATTACCTCCAGTTTGGTTGAACTGAATCAAACTGTCAATAGTGGAACTGAAGAAGTGTTGATTAACACGACACTCGTCAGTGTACCAGTCCCTGTGTCCTGGATCATCTTCCATTAGTCTCTTCATCCAGTCCTGTTTGGGTTCAGCTCTCTTGATGTTGCTGTCGTAGTGAACAACCTCAACTCCATCAACCATCACAGCACCAATGAACTCTGGGAAGTTTGTCACTCCAGAAACTCCAATGAAGAAGAACTTCAGGGAGTGTTCCTCTGTAGGGGAAATAGGGTTTCAGCTTTCGAAATACACTTTTTATATTCTTTTGTATGATTATCTAAAATGAAGAATACACATTCATTTATGAGTTTGGTAATATTTATTCAAGGCTCATCATTTGGAGTTTGAAATAATTATTTACCCAAAGTAAATGAGTAAATATATTATTTACTTTGAATCGGGTGCTCATTTATTTGAAAGTGTGAAAACTGTAGCAGCAAAGGTATTTTCTGTCTCTGCACTTCCTTTGCGTGCAGATTGATTGCTTCTGAAAAGGACAGTTCCCTGTGAGCGGTTTTCTGTTCCCACGCACCCCAACACATCAGCAGTGAATAGTGCTTTTACTGAACTGATTTCATTTACTGTGAACTTTAAATAAATAAATAATACAATAAGATATATATTTAATGTATAACATTATGCAAGAATGGAAAGCATTGTATGACATATTATATAGACTACTTTAGTTTTACATTTATAGAATTGAGTTTTAAGTGTAAAATCTTCAAAACTCTGTATTCTGATTATAAGATTATAAGTAAATACCACATATAAATGTAAATAGTAACACACACAAAGTTTAACTCAACTCAACTTTATTCATATATCACCTTTCATACAAACATTCAGCTTCATGTAGCAAATTAAAACATCAATGCAGTAAAAACACTAAAATATAAAACATCAAATAAATGTCTGTGTAAAAATCAACACCAGGGAGACAAATTATATAAAAAACTAAGATTAATACTTAAAAACTAAGGCTATAACATTACTCCAAAGTAAAAGCCAGATTAAAAAGATTGAACATTAAACGTTTTTAATTTCCTTTTAAAGATACAGAGAAAGCAGTGGAGGAACTTTAAACTCAATTCTAACAGATACAGGCAGCCGGTGTCTTCAGCAGAGGAGTTATCCATTTTCCTGGTTCTAGTTTAGACTTGAGTCGCAGGGTTCTGAACTTGCTGTAGCTTTCTGATGGACTTTTTAGGGAATTAATCTACACGACTGGTAATAAAAGCGTCAGTGAGTATTTCAGCATCTTTCAGACTTAAAAAAGATCGGACTTTTTCAATATTTCTAAAATGAAACAAGGCTGTTTTATTTACCGTTTGAAAATTAGAATTAAATTTTAAATCAGAATCTAAAATCACAACCAAATTAATAATGTTAGTTTTAATCTGTCGGTAAGGTCACTGAGCATTGAGTGTAGTTTTTCTCTCCCTGCTTTAATTTTATTTTAATTAATTTATATATTTTTTTTATTTACACCAAAAATCTAATTCAGTTTTAAACTTGTCGTATTTGAGTGGATGCAGAATTCTGATATCACAAAACCTAAAAAAAAATCTACTTTCATGTTTCATATCATTAGAGGTAATTTTTGTGAACAGACTCTTAAACTACAAACCTAAAGAGACAGAAAGAATAATCCTATAAAACAGAAATTCCAGGCGCCAGGTTAGCTCAGTGGGTGGAGCTGGTGACCCATGTACAGAGGCTGAGTCCTTGCTGCAGCGGCCCAGCGTTTGAATCCGACCTGCGGCCCTTTGCTACGTGTCATCCCCTCTCTCTGCCCCCCTTTCCTGTCTATCTTAAGCTGTCTCTATCATAAAGGCAATAAAAAGCCCCAAAAAATCAAATACTTTAAAACAGAAAAAAGAGGTTTTACAATGAACGGCAAAACAATATTAAACTGCTTTAACTGGAGGTGTTAGGTTCACTGTTTTGTTGTCCCACATGACGTCACTGTGTGCAGGGTGGTGTGTTTGCTCGTGATGTTTCTGGATTCAGTTTCTCAGAGAGCTCAGAGCTGTTTTCAGGAGCTGCAAGGTCAGAAACACACTGTTAGTCCTCTTCTCCTGCACTGAACTACCTCAGCTCACAATGTAAAGAACGTGTCAGAGACAATAGAATAAAAACAAGTTCTACCTACGACGTGGACGGCAAATGGCTGAAATAAGAAGAAAAGATAAATAATTGAATTTGTCACAAATGCCAGAAGATCTTTTGTTTTGCCCTCTGAATCGCATTCTCTCATATAAACTGAGAAATAAATCCCCTTTTCCTCTCTGTTTAGATTATGTGTATTATTCTGTAGATTTATATTCTACTCTGAGCCTTACTCTGCTACTGTTGGCTACTTCAGATTTTGGTGCACTATGAAATGTTCCTTAAGTTTTTAAGTCTGCAGAGCATCAACTCATTTCAATTGGGGCACTCACCTTTCTTCTTTTCAGTAAACAATAAATCCAATAGCACCAATGAGGACGACAGCAAGAACAACCACTCTAGCAGTAATCTTTATGGTGATGTAAATGGGATCCTCTGCTCAGCAAAAAACAACACAAATAAACAAAAATCACAATGTGTGGAGAGGAAGCAGGTTAGAAAAGATCCATCCATCTGTTCATCAAGGTTACAAGGTTTGTGCAAATATTGCATTTTATGTTTCATTCAAGAGGCTGTGTGAGCAGAAATATGCACTAGTTCAGTGGCACCATGTCAGTTAAGTTAACTCAGAGATTGAACTGAGGGGCTGCATGATGAGCTACTATAAGATAAATGAGGTTGTTTTTGAAGAGTGAATCATGCAAAGTTACAACAGTGGAGTCTCAGATCCAAGAATACAGAGCTCAAATAGAGCATAATAGTCCCCTTTAAATCTGTGTCCTAACCTTTGTCAATTCTTATTTCAGTCTTACCCCAGTTTGTCCTGATCTCTGCTTTGTCCAGTTTGGTGACGATGTCGTTCTTCCCACCATAGAGCTGAAACACACAGTCGTACCTCCTCCAGTCTTCAGGTGGGACTGATGAATGAAGTTTCAGGTCAACACTCATCTGGAAGGATCCATCGTGGTTGAGGAGGATCTCTCCGTGGTCCACGTCCTCATGAAGCTCCTCTCCATCTTTCCTCCAGAAGAGTATGGCACTGTCAGGGTAGAAACCTGTAGCGTGGCAGCTGACTGGAGAGGAGGAAGTCTTCTGGAGGAAAGACACTGAGGGAAGCTCTGGAGAGTAAAGACAGATAGAGTTTATAGACAGTATTTAATTCAATTCAATTTTATTTGTATAGCGCCAATTCATAACAGAAGTTATCTCAGGACACTTCAAATAGAGCAGGTCTAGACCGAACTCTTTAAAACATTAATTACAGAGACCCAACAGTACCACCATGAGCAAGCACTTGCCGACAAGGGCAAGGAAAAACTGCCTGTTAAAAGGCAGAAACCTAGGACAGATCCTCCGGCTCTAGGTGGGTTGTCGTCTGTCTCGACCAGTTGGGGTGAGAGAGAGAGAGAGAGAGAGAGAGAGAGAGAGAGAGAGAGAGAGAGAGCGACAGACAGGTGCACAGCAACAACACTATTGGCAATGGCCGTCAAGCAGGACCATGGCAGGAGGCTCCACCAGGATCCATGAGAACCTGCGAGACGAGAAAGCACAAGAACTCCGGGGAAGAAGTGAAGTTAGTAACATGCAGTAATGGGACATGAATGAGTGCAGAAAGAGAGAGGAAGGGAGGAGCTCAGTGCACCATGGGAAATCCCCGATAGTCTAGGCCTATAGCAGCATAACTAAGGGATGGTTCAGGACTCACCTGATCCAGCCCTAACTATAAGCTTTATCAAAGAGGAATGTCTTAAGCCTACTCTTGAATGTGGTGAGGGTGTCTGCCTCCCGAACCACAACTGGAAGCTGGTTCCACAGGAGAGGAGCTTGGTAACTGAAGGCTCTGGCTCCTGTTCTACTTTTAGAGACTATAGGAACCACAAGTAGCCCAGCATTCAGAGAACGTAGTGTTCTAGCTGGGTAATAACTTATATTAACATTATAATTCCTCTTTGATGTAATGTCGTTTAAAGGTTTTAGTAACAAACACACAATATATACAGGCATGCAACACTATACACCGATCAGCCATAATGAGAATAATAGTCTAGCCATCACAATTTGGCCTTTGTCAAAGTCGCTCAAATCTTCACGCTGTCCATTTTTCCTGCTTCTAACACATCAACTTTAAGGACAAAATATTATATCCCTATATGCCTAAAATATCCCACCCACTGACAGGAGCCATGATAACCAGATAATCAGTGGCATTCACTTCACCTGTCAGTGCTCTATATTTATGAAGTGTAATTGAGAAAAAGCGTGAAGGAGAGAGGGGGAAAAGACAGATGAAGAGAGGTAAAGTGATACAGAGGGATGAAGAGGGGTGAGAGAGAATGAGAGAAAAAGAAATGTGTGTAAAGTGAGACAGAGTGAGTCTGTATGTTGGTGATATTTATTGTGATGTTACTGTTGGTTAGAAACTGAAGAGAAAGATGAAGATTGTTGTGTCCATTAAACTACATCAGGTCATGTGATTCTACCTGTTCTCAGCAGAGAGCTCCTCCCATAGTCCAAATATTTCTTCAACCAGTCAATGCACTCCTGGGTGAGGTAGTTTTTTGTCTGCGCTATCTGAGCTCTGTCATTATCCCACTTGTGTTTGGTAATGACAGCCTGTGGCACTGGAGCGATGTATGTCCCTGTCTTCAGGTCAAATGCTATGAAGTCTTCTCCATCATAACCATACTGATCATAACCATTAACCTCTCCAGTGTCATCATCCCACTCACAGCCGTACATCAGCTGGACAATGTGGACACCTGAGAGAGAGATAGACAGAAACAGTATTAAACCAGAGTGAGATCACAGCACAGTCTTCTATCATCAGTTGATATCACATCTTTACCACAGAGACACACTGATCCACAGACACCAACACAGAGGATCTACACCTCCTGCTGTTATTGGCTCGATGGAAGACACTCACAGACAATCATCATCTGGACTTCATAGTTGAATCTACGTGAATAAAACACACCTCACATGAAGAACTCAATGAAATAAACAAACCTCCAGTTTGGTTGAAGCGCTGCTTCCCAGTTTCAATGTTGGTTTTGAAGGTCCGCTGAGCTCTCACAGAGACCTCAGTCTCCCTCTCCCAGTACTGAGGATCATCTGCTGTGACTCTGCTCATCCAGTCCTGTTTGGGTTCTGCTCTCCTGGTGTTACTGTCATAGTGAAACATCTGAACATCATCAACCAGCCCAACAGACACAAACTCTGGGAAGTTTGGGACTCCAGAAGACGCAGTGTAGAAATACTTCAGAGAGTGAGTCACTGTAAGAAAACATTAATGTAACATTTCAGTTTTATAAATCACTGAACAATGTTATTGTCCTGCAGACAGAATCAAAGAGAACTACAGTACATTCAAAACATCCTAATAATCTCTGTTGTGCAGTCAGTTAACACAGAAATACATTTATAGATGAAGATTTTGCTCCAGAAACTATTTCCTTTATATTTCTGATGAATCTGTCTTAAAAATGTTATTTATTCTGAAATAAAATGTCAAACAGGTCAAATATTTGGTGCATGGGCGCCAGCTCTACCAGGTGAGCTGTCCGGGCAGCCATGCACTAAATGTTGTATCAAGGATGAGTGCTTGCTGCAGCGGCCCTGGGTTCGAATCTGATCTGTAGCCCTTTACTGCATGTCATCCCCTCTCTCTCTCCACCCTTTCCTGTCACAATGGATTAAAGGCAATAAAAGTTTATTTTATATATATATGAAATAATAATAATAATTAAGTTTAGTTAAGTTAAGTTTTGTTAAGAGAGTAAATCAATTCCCTGTCAATATATCAAATGCCAAAATATTGCTAAAAATATTTCTAGACGATGGTTATAGAAATAAAATCTGATATTTAGGTCAGGTATTTTTTTTTTATGTATAGAAATTGAACAGTAACATTTCATTTTTTTTGTGACCTTTTGTGGCATTTTTGAACTTTTTCCAGTTACTTATTGACATGTACACAGATACAGGAACTAAACATCACAGGCCATCAACTGACTCACCTGCTGCTGCGCCTTGTAGACTGATTCCCAGGAGAGCCAGAAACATCAGGGTCTTCATGCTGAATTCAGACATTTTGATAAATGTCTTTAATGTGTATTCATACTGATAAAGAGTCACTGTGGTTCCAGTTCGAGCACCAAGGTTTAAGTGACACAGAGAAGTACTGCGGATGTGGTCTGCAGGAAGGCGGGACCGGATGATCTATACTACTGGTGCATGTCATTATAAATTATATGGTACCAATGTCCACAGAACAATTTCTATCCTTTACAGTATCCATGTAAATTGTTTAACATATAAATGTTTATTACTGTTGTTGATTTTAATAATTTAATATTCCTTTTAATACTTCTCATTAATGTACGGATCAGTCACACAACGTCACAGTGCATTATACTGCGTCTCACTATGTAGGCATACATGCTACTCCACCACACACAAACAGAACCACAGCTGAGGTTGAAACTGAAAGTGTGGGTGAGAGGATGGGGGGGGGCATGTAGGCATTTTGGTGTTTCAAGGTTGTTCACATATGAAAGGAGAATTAAACCTTCTGCTGCTCAGAGCTTGTACAATGTTTTGTAAGTTAATGTGATGTAACATGCAGAAATGTATTTATTTCTGGGAGGTCAGAGGTCAATTCAATTAAATACAATTTTCTTTGTATAGCGCCAATTCAGAACAGAAGTTATCTCAGGAGACTTTTCAAATAGAGCAGGTCAAGACCATACTCCTTATAAAATGATTTACAGAGACCCAACAGTTCCCACCATGAGCAAGCACTTGATGTTACTGTCAGCTACAGATCAGACACTCTGCAGTTTGTGTGGATGCAGCAGTGTCTTATTGCTGTTTCAGAGCTCCCTCCAGTGATGTGGAGCAGTACAGTTTCTCAGTGTGGACTGTTATTATCTGTTATTTAAACACATCTGTGTGCAACAGACCATCTGGTTATTAAATGAGATGGAGGGGAACAGTTCAGGTCTACTCACTGGTCTTGGCACAGAATAGGACGACTATCAGAACAGACAGTATGATCAAACACACAATAGTTTATGTAAGGGTTGAGGTACAAGTAAAACTTCATTTTTATTGACTTAAAGTTAATATGCTGTTACAACAAAAGGCTGAAATAAAATGAGAGTGTGACATTTTTCTTCATCAGTATGTGAACAGATGTACTGACATCATCAGTGGTGCATTGTTATACATCACTTAAACATTATGACTGGAAGAAAATGTTTAAAAATATTGTTTTACGATATTTTACTTTCCAGTATTGTATCGATTGTTGTGGTTAAACCCCCTAACGGCTAGATGTTGCAGTGTTATAAATATAAACTGAGGGCTCTGATGTTCTAGTGATGAATACTAATGCAGATCTCAATGTTGCATTAAAAACTTTTTAACTCAGATTTTAGGTATATGGTGGTGTGTTTTTGTACCATGACAGTTAATACCAGACCTAAAATTGGACTTTTAAAATGAAATCGTAATATATCATCTAGCTTACTGTATCGTAATATAGCACAATATATTGTACTACATCAATTTACATTAAAATAAGATAAACAACCCTAACCATCATCAATTCAAGATTCAATTTATTAACTCTTTCAATAAACACACACCCTTGCATCATTCCTCCATCTCACCAAATACACTCACTTAACACTCACACTGAAGGTGTGAAAACAACTTCCTGACAACTTGTTTCTCTACAGCAAATTAATTTCTGCTTCAGTTTTCAAGTGTATGTTGCACTCTAGTGGAAGGTTACAGAAACACACATCTGGTCAGTGTGTAAGTGAAACAGACGATAACACGATAACCAAAGAAATTGTAGGAGTCAGAGTGGAACTGACAAAAAGGGATTTATTTACAGCTTACTGATGCTTGCAATCATACAACAGTATATAGAGAGGGTGGGACAAGGTGGGTGTGCTTAACAAATAGAATAAAAATGACTAAACTACAAACAGACAATAGACGAATCCCGTATAACCCCCCCCCCCCAAAAAAAAATAAAAAATAGAGGTTGCACCGACCAATAACAAACCAAGAAATGTTCTAAGAGTTTCAAAGATTTTCTTTTCTTGGTTCTCAAAAGTGAAAAAATAAATAAATAAAAAATGTCACATCAGTGAATGAATAACAATTATTGATTGTCTGTATAGAAGCCAAATTCACATTGTGCTCAAAGACAACAACCCTATTTCCAGTTAGGGTGAGTTATTACATTATCATTATGACTCTTAAATAATGTTAAACCAGTGAATCCAGTACACCCCAAACATTATTTTACAGTTTGTTGTTTGTTGGTTAATACTGATACTATGTGTTTATCAAAAATATCTGACTAAATATTAAATATGGTAAGTATGACCTCAACACATGAGCACATGGCAGAGACAAGGATGTGAGGTTTGGTCTTAAATAAGATTGTTAGGACAGGACGGCGAGAGAGGCAAAAAGTTTCAGCCATTTAAGTCATAAAATAATGTTTTAAACAAGTTTTTTTTATTAAATTTCAGTTGTTTTTATGTCCTTTGAATTCATATTTTCTGTGTCTGCACATCCTGGTACTTCCAGTGTAGCTGATTCTGCGGAGTTATCCGGTTCTGTGGTTGACTCCTGGGAATCAACTTGTTGTTGTGAAGCCACTAATGGTTGCATTCTTTGTCCCTGCAATTAGAAATTATTAAGGAATTCATAAAAGGACACAAAGAAAAACCTGTGCTTAGTTCATATTGTCACTATCACTGGGGCGACGTAGCTCAGTGTGTAGGGACCTCGGTCGCCGGTTCAAATCCCACAGACCACAGTATGGAGTGTGGACTGGTAGCTGGAGAGTTGCCAGTTTCACCTCCTGTGCACTGCTGAGGTACCCTTGAGCAAGGCAACTTTACCCCAAGAAACTGCTCATGGTGAGCTGCTAATGTGGCTGCCCATCACTCCACCATCTCTCTCTCTCTCAATGTTTGCATGTCCACAGTCCCTGCATATGCATCATTAGTGTGTATGAAATAAAAAAGAGTGAAAAGAAGAATTTCTCCAACAGGGGATTAATAAAGTATATATCGATCTATGACTAGAGAGGTTAAAAGTATTATCAAATACAATACTCACATTGCGGGTCTGTCCTTTTTCAGCATGACATTTCTTTCGCCAGATAAAGTATCCAGTGATGAAAGCTGCCACAACGACGAAAACTGCTGCGGCAACACCTCCAGTGACACCACCATCGGAGGATGCTGGAGAAGGAACTGGAACTAAACCAACAGAACAAACATTTATCACAAGCCCATTTATACTTTTGCAACCTAAAAGCCATCCTGTGTGGTTCTGAAAGAGTTTAATAACAGCTAATTTCTGATTATGCTCAAAACATAATTATAACCCTGCTCAGAAAGAGATAACATAGTATAGTTTGACATTTGGGGAAATAAGCTTTTAGAGGTAGAGGAGAATATTGATACCACTCTCATATGTTAAACATTAGACTAAAGCCAGTAGCTTAACTTAGCCCAAGGAATGGAGACAGGGGAAACAGTTAGCTCTGTCTGAAGGTAACAAAATGTACCTACCAGCATCTTTAAATGTTTAACTAATGAACATGTCATGTTTCATTAATTTAATCTGTGCAAAAACTGAAGAGGGACTCATTGTCTCCACAGCAACATCTTACTTTCATCAACCACAGCATGGTGGGAAATGTAGCTCTACAACTCACCACGTTACTAAATGAGAGTTTGTTTCAGGCTAACCTTCATTGGTTCTGATCACTGCTTTGTCCAGTTTGATGACGATGTCGTTCTTCACACCAGAGAGCTGAAACACACAGTCGTACCTCCTCCAGTCTTCAGGTGTGACTGATGAAAGGTTCAGGTCAACACTCATCTGGAAGGATCCATCGTGGTTGAGGAGGATCTCTCCGTGGTCCACGTCCTCATGAATCTCCTCTCCATCTTTCCTCCAGATGAGTGTGGCACTGTCAGGGTAGAAACCTGTAGCGTGGCAGCTGACTGGAGAGGAGGGAGTCTTCTGGAGGAGAGACACTGAGGGAAGCTCTGGAGAGAGAGAGAGAGAGAGAGAGAGAGAGAGAGAGAGAGAGAGAGACAGAGATGTGTGTTAATGAATATAGCTGGATTATAGCTCTACAGTAGCTCTACCTGTATATGTGACACATGTGTCCATAGAGTACGTAAGGTCATGTGATTCTACCTGTTCTCTGCAAAGTGTTGTTTGCATAGTCCAAATACTTCTTCAGCCAGTCAGAACAATTTGTGAGATGCAAGATAATGTTTTTTATTCTCTCTTTGTCTCTGTCCCACTGAAATTTGGTGTTGAGAGCTTGTGGATGAGTTGAAGGGATCCATGTCTGTGCTGTCAGGTTGAACTCCATGAACCCTTCTCCATCATAACGGTACTCATCCGAAGTATAAACCTGGTCTTCCCACTCACAGCCATAGATCCTCTGGAAAGTGTGGATGTCTGAGAGAGAGACAGATACAGTAACCTATTGGGAGCTCATAATACAGTACTATCTTATTGAGTCCAAACATTTTACAACAGCTTAAAACTTCATCCGTATGCTAACGGTCCAGTAAGATTTTGCCAGCACTGCACTGATTTTGATATTGGGAAGGTGTGCAATCATTAAAAAAATAAACAATAATTGATAATTCTCCTCAAATGCATTGAAACTAAAGTAATGAGTCTGTTTTGAAAATGTAGAAGTTAAGGATTTTCGGTTAGAAATGTCAGAAAAATAGTAAAAGTAAAAATACTTGAAAAAACAAAACATACATTAATAAAGTATTTGTATTTGATTACTTTGCACCACTGGATATTGGTCATATTACAATGTTTAAGCACTAAAAATATAAATTACCTCCAGTTTGGTTGAACTGAATCAAACTGTCAATAGTGGAACTGAAGAAGTGTTGATTAACACGACACTCGTCAGTGTACCAGTCCCTGTGTCCTGGATCATCTTCCATTAGTCTCTTCATCCAGTCCTGTTTGGGTTCAGCTCTCTTGATGTTGCTGTCGTAGTGAACAACCTCAACTCCATCAACCATCACAGCACCAATGAACTCTGGGAAGTTTGTCACTCCAGAAAATCCAGCAAAGAAAAACTTCAGGGAGTGTTCCTCTGTAAGAAACACAATGTTTAATGGGTTTGACTTAACATTTCCTTTTTTTATGTAAAACTAGGAAAAAATATAACTACACTGATGTTATTTGTAATGTCTATTGAAGTAAATAATTCCTTAACTGTGCACTAAAGTGCAGAGTTTTAGTGGGACAAACATAAAATTGCATCTGATGTAAACATACCCCAGTTGGTTCTGATCACAGCCTTATCCAGTTTGCTGACGTTGTCGTCCTCGTCACCGAACTTAAACACACACTCGTACCTCCCCCAGTCTTCAGGTATGACTGGTGGGACTTGGTCAACACTCATCTGGAAGGTTCCATCGTTGTTTGGGAGGACCTCCACACGACCTTCAATAGGAAGCTCCTTTCCATCTTTCCTCCAGAACAGTGTGGCTCTGTCAGGGTAGAAACCTGTAGCGTGGCAGCTGACTGGAGAGCGGGGAGTCTTCTGGAGGAGAGACACTGAGGGAAGCTCTGCAGAATAAAGAGAAAGAGACAGAAAAATATGGATCTGTGCAGTGGTTGTCAATATGTTGCTTCACATTGAGACATGTGAACAGTGATTCTACCTGTTCTCAGCAGGGAGCTCTTCCCATAGTCTAAATACTTGTTCAGCAACTGAGGACAATGCCGGGTGAGGTTAAACTTAATGTTGTTTATTGTAGCTTTGTCACTGTCCCACTCCTGCTTGGTGATGAAAGCCTGTGGTGTTGAATTGTTCCATTCCAGTGTCTTCGGGTCTAACCGTATGAAGTCTTCTCCATCATATTTAAACTCATCACAACCAATAACTTCTGGAGTTTTATCCTTCCAGTCACAGCCATAGATCCTCTGGAAAGTGTGGATGCCTAAAAGAGAGACAGAGACTGCAGTAAGTCAAATTCATATCATTATAGTCATATTATCATTTACCAAAGAGATCTAGAAATCGACCAACAGTGCAGGGTTCCCACTCTTTTTGACAAATCATTATTTCCAGGACCTTTCCTTGTCATTTTTTTTCTTGATAATACAGGACAGCACTTGTGCACAAATGGACATATACCGTATTGACCCGAATATAAGACGACCCTGAATATAAGACGACCCCTCTTTTTCAAGACCCATATTTGGAAAAATACTTTTTATTTTGACAAAATTTCATTTGCATAAAAAAAAATTCATTGTTTTCCTTGTACATTTCAACATCTTTGGTGTTTATCATGCGGGGGGAAAAAAAATCATAAAACCCTCTATAGCTCCGCAAATAGGCAAAGCGCACAACGCACTTCACGGTTCTATGCCATATAACAGCGCAATTAAACGAGCATAAGCCTACTGGCTTAACTTGTGCAATAAACGGTGCACATTTTCTTGACAGTGTTAGAACTGTCTGCAAAATGTGAGAACAATAACATCCAAAAACACCACAAACTGTTTTTTTTTTCTTTCTTTCATTAAGCTGCAAAAAATATCGTCTTATATTCGGATCAATACGGTAATTTACAGGTAGGCCTAATAAACTCCAGTTTTATTCCTCTGTTTTAATAATGCAGGGTTTATCATAAAGTGCACAGGGTTATTACAGGTAGGTGGTAGGAACCCTGACAGTGATGTAATGTAACTCAGTCCAGTGTACTTCAGTAAATGGTCTAGGTACTTTTATATTCATACTTTTCATATTTCAAAGGCAAGTACCGTAGTTTTACTCCATTACATTTATAGTTACTTGTTAAATATGATGAGATTGAACTATTTTATGTTGGCAACAATAATATCTGCAAATAGTTGCATAACGGCTGCTTTTAATTTTGCTGCTCAAATTCTCCACCACTATAAACCAATCAGAACTTTAAGCAGAAGAACATTTTTTCATAAAAGTATTTTAGGAGGAAAAAGCAACACAAACATACCTCCTGTTTGTTTGAGGCGCTGCATCAAACTGTCAATAGTGGAACTGAAGAAACGTTGATTAACACGACACCCGTCAGTGTACCAGTCCCTGTGTCCTGGATCATCTTCCATTAGTCTCTTCATCCAGTCCTGTTTGGGTTCAGCTCTCTTGATGTTGCTGTCGTAGTGAACAACCTCAACTCCATCAACCATCACAGCACCAATGAACTCTGGGTAGTTTGTAACTCCAGAAAATCCAGCAAAGAAAAACTTCAGGGAGTGTTCCTCTGTAGGGGAAATACATTTTCAGGTTTGTGAAATACACTTTTTATATTCTTTTTAAATGATAATCTGTTTCATGCTGGTCATGAGGTGCATAAGATGTCTTGTTTTTCCCCTCAGGTGTAGCTGATCTGCTAATTGAAAGAGAGAACCATTAAAGAGGGACTCATGGAATCTTTCTACTGTAATTATCCAGACAGCAGTTGTATATGGCAGCCTGTTCAGTTTGTTTCTTTATTTTTTGATGGAACCGGTAATCTGATTTTGTGGCTTTATTTCACTTTGGTTTAGTTTATTTAAGGTTGGTGTAGGGTTGAGGGTTGAAAAGCTCACATCCTATGGCCCTATCTGGGCTGGTCTGAGTGGCTTCACCTTTATTGTTTGAACTGTTTATTTAATTTACTGGGTTACTGGGTAATTGGAAGTTGCTGGTAGACTTAAACCAAAAGCTGTGCTTCCCAACTGAAATCGTGCCCACCAACCTGCGACCAGACCTTGTGCTGTGGTCAGCTTCGCTCAAGCACAAGTACATCATAGGGCTCACGGCCCCCCGGGAGAGCACAGTAGAGGAGGCTTTAATAAAACTTAAGCAGTTTGTTTTAATTGTGGCCATCTGTATATATTTTAAAGATTTGATATATAATGAATAATAATAATCTAATAATACTGTAGGCTATAAGTTATTTACTTTGAATCGGGTGCTCATTTATTAAGTGTGAAAACTGTAGCAGCGCGCTTCTTTTCTTTCTGAAGATTGATGATGCAAAGTTTCCTGTGACCTGCGGTGAACAGTTTTCTGTTCTCACACACTCCAACACATCAGCAGTTAAAAATGGTTTAACTGAAATGGTTTCATTTTCTGTGAACTACAGTTAACATTGCAAACAGTTCTCGCATATGCACACGGATGCATATAAACCCAGACTGTATATACGATAAAGCATTAAGACTTTAGTACATTCTACTCATTTTTAAATAAATACATTAAATCAATACAGCATTTTTACATAAGGGCTTAATTAGGAAATTGATTAAAGGGAGGAAAAAGTATAATCTTACCTGGAGATGCAACGTGACAGAAAATGAGAAATATAAATAATTTCTTCATCTTGTTTTAAAAAGAAGAGAGCTGACCTACAGATGAACTTCAGACCTGAGTCAAGAGCTGTTCAGTGGTAACAGACTTGAGAAATGAAAGGTTACAGACAGTTCATCAGTGATAACAGACACACAGTAGGAAGCATCCTAACCACAGAGGCAGGACAATCAGAGGGTAGGTGTCCCCAGAAACTGAAGGAATCTATTGACTTTAAAGGGCAGTCTGCTTAATCCGAATTAGTTTTTATTAGTATTCCATACTTTAAATTGGCACAAATTCATATAGTTGTCTCTGTATTTGTTGTTTTTTTCACAATATGAAACACAGAATGTGTAGACTCCCCTCTATATGTAGGCCACTTGGTTCATTCCATACAGGCCCGGCACTAACCAATTTGACACCAAATATAAAATCCACTGCCGGTTATATACATACATATACTCACGCAAGAAACTGAATAGCTTTGTCTTTGACATTTTATTTTATTTTTAGAGAAACCAGTTGCTCAATCAAAACAGTTAACAAGAAAATAATAAATTAGAAATAAATCATACAAGAAATGTCATATAAATAGCCGTCACAAAGTATAACATTTGGAAAACATTTTGCAGCAGAAGCAGTGCAAGCTATCACCCTTTCTCGAGTACATCAGCCAGCTTCTTCTGATCTTTTCCCCATTGACTACGTCCGTCATCAGTTAGAGGAGATGGTCAGTCAGCAGGGTCTGTTGGTGCAGCCTTTATTCCTGATGCTGCATCACTGGGTTCTTCTGAGGTGGAGGCGACAGGAGGATCACTTGATGCTGTTGAAGCGACGATGAATGTAGATGGCCCAGGATTTACAGGAGGTGGATTTAGATATTTCAACAGCGCAGCTGAAGAGAGAAGAGGTGTAAGTGACACTGTTGGGTGTTACAGTCTAATAATAAAAGAAATGATTCCAAGAATAAAATTAAATAATAAAAATGAAAAACCTAAGAGATGCATTACTTTCACTGTACTGTACATGAATGATATACAGTGCAATTTCTTCTGATATACAAATTAGATTAGATTGAATGTTATTGTCATTACAGTGAAATGCTGATTATCAGAATGTAAAGAATCAGTAAACTGCAGAATAATATAACATATGGGAATGTATTAACATTAATGATGTGCACTTTAACATGGATGTAAAGTTTAACACTATAAACACACTTTAGACAATACTGAACTGTAACACAACAAACAACAAGGCTTACAACTCTAATATATATATATATATATACCCACAGGACAGACCAGTGTCTTTAGCGCCCCTAGTGGTAGTGACCACTGGTCCGTGCCAGGTAGGAGCTGGTCGCGAGGAGCTGGTCAGGACTGTGCTGCAGGTCACAAACACACTGACCTGCAAAATCAATAGTACTACTCATACAGCTACGACTAATAATAATAATTTAATCATTGTTATTATTATTATGATTTCTATTAATAATAGTGATCAATAACACTGGATAGACAAACGATTGTGGCTTCTCACATTTAGGCTATTCCTCTAACACAGTGAGAAACGGGAAAAGTTGTATTAAAAATAAATACAAACAAACAAACACTCCACAGATCACTCAACTGGTCCAAACAACAGAACAGATCACAGAGGAGGTGGTCAGGACCAGTCCTTTTGGTGTCCTTTGTGCCAGTAACATGCTGGTCACGACCGCTGTGCCACTGGTCGCGACCAGTGTCTTTAGTGCACCTACCTAGTGGTTGACCACTGGTCCGTGCCAGAGACCAACTGGTCCCGGGACAGACCACTGAATCAGCTACATTTGAGTGTACATCAAATGTACTCCAGGGAAAAGTTAAAGTAACTCTTTTCCGGGAGTTGATTTTTAAATTCTTTTGTGGAGTTAAAACTGAACTTGTGGGAGTTAAAAAACTAATTCCATGTGGGGTAAAATACAACTCTTTTATGGTGTTAACAGTCAACACTTAAAAATATGTTTTTATTCAACACTTTTCTGAGTTAATATTTAAAAACACAAAAAATATTTTAGGTGAAAATAACTACAAAAAACATTGATTACCACACATTTTTATTTTAAATCCATGGGTGACATTTTGAATTACAAACTGTAAACATTTTACAGCAAACCAACCAGACATATTCACATTTAAAACAAACTGCTTTAACAGCAGCTAAACAGTTGGAACAGGCAGTTATTTCAAAAATCATGTCAGTACCACATCTTTCTGTAGTGCATAAGAGAAATGTGCAGGAAGTGCATAGCAAAAAAGCATTGCACAAATGTCTGACAAGATAACAAAGAACTTTTCTGTAATGGAATGTATTAACATGAGGTAGACTTTAAACCTGTAATTTAAGTACATAAACATGTACATAAAAAACAAGGGTGAATTCCATATAGCTAAGGTTAATACATTAAATAATACAACCCTCTGACATACAAATGTGAATCACACATCAGGCACTCATATCTTTGCTGTGAGTTGTCAGTGATTTGGGATGAAGTAGAGGATGTTTCATCATTTAAGCACTGAGAATTATTGTGCTGTTGGCTGTCATGGCTAGAGGGGGTCTCAGGAGGCACACAGGTGTTATCACTAGAAGCATGTCCCTTAATCTAAAGTGTCTTCTAAATCCAGAATAACTTGAAAATTGCAAGCAACATCCTACTTGACCACATTTTAGTCTCAATTTTTTCCCAGGGTACATCCCATGAATTTGTTTGAGGTGCCTGAACAAAAGTAACGCTGTACCAAAGGATGAAGCACAAAGGAAACATCTGAGCATTTTTGCTGGATAAGCTAATTACTGCTTGTTCCACAGCTTTGCTCTTAGCTCTTTGACTCTTGGAGTTTCTTCTGTTGTACCTATATCAATGTTGTGCAGAGTAGTTTGCATAAACTGTGTACAGACTGGACAGAGCATCATCTTATTTCACACTGAAAACAAAGTGGGACTTGAACAACTCATCAAATGCACCCAAGGATGTACATGACTGACATGGAAGAAGCTTTCTATCCAAGACTATGTAGAAGCTGGAAACCTGTGCTTTAGAAGTCCCTGAGGCCAGAAGATAGTGCTGAGGGTTTCCTTCAGTGGTCATGAGGTGATCCTCCAGGCTCTGGCAGGACTGAAACTCAAAGACAAGCATCTACATATAAGCCTTGAGTTTAAAAAATGTTGCATGAACCACAGTATTTGGAATTAGATCGTACTGTCTTCACAAACCTTTTGAATTCCACCAGATGATCTGTTGCCTCTATGACACTGATCTTCTTGGCCTCTTCCTTCCAGCTGGTTGTGGAGTGAGAAGATGCAGCAAGACAAGAAGAGAAGCCATGTCGCTGTCCCACTCTGCAGTGGAAATAACACAATTAACTCAACAATATTTGCCTTCACATGTTTTCCTTGTGGAGGACAAGGTTACCACAAGGTGGTAGGCAGACAACATTAACCCAAAGCTGTCAAAGCTTTTCTGCAAAAAACAAACAAACCCAGAAATGTTCAATCCCCTTACCATCATCAGTGGAGACAACAAAACACATTGCTTCTGTTGCAAGTTCTGGAAAGACATCGTCATCCTCCTCTATGCCCTGCTCATCTGCGACTTTTAGCACTTTATCTTCTGGTATGAGAAACTTCTGCTGCACTGAAGCACAACATTCAACACATTATTAAATTATTATTTCCCCTTTAATGACATCAGAAAACACATAGGTACATCACCTACCTGCATTGATACAATCTGAGAAGCTGATCTCTTCCAGTTACACATACTTCTTTGTCCTTCTTTGTTGTACCTTCAACAACATCTTTACCACTTGAGGGAAAAATAATAATTTTACCAGTAATAAAAGCAACATGTGGACTCTAACAGAAGAGTCTTTGTAGTAGCTGTTATTCAGTCTATAGCATGCTAAGCATAATATTCAGTGGTCCCAGTCATGTCTTTACAACGGAAATAATTGAGAGATAGCCTCTAAGCTTGTAAAAAAAAGTCATTGACAAGTATCTAACACGTTCACTGACATCCAGAAAGACTCCGCCATTTACGTTACAACAGCCTCTCCAACACGAGACAGAGTCGGTGCAAGCTGTCCAGCTGTTGTCTTAAGCAGAACTGTGTATATATATATAGATATATATATATATAAATATATGGCTGGTCCCTTTCTCGCGTCTGTTATGGTCCTCCTAGCCGTGCCGAGTCAACTAAGGAAAAAACAACCAAACGTGTTCAGTATACATCAACAGAAGAAGAAACAGTGTAGGCTAATGTTAACTTAAAATACACAAAGAAATATCAGTAATACGAGTTTGATGTTAATTCCATGTGCTAAGTACAAACAAGTAAAATGAGCGGAGCCATCGATTTATAATAAGCATGGTCCGACAAGTTCAAACATTAACTTGGACAGCTAACGTTAGGTAGCGAGTTTGGCCTCGCAAAGGTCTATGACAAAACATACAAATATGCCATTGTTATACTGATAGAAGCCTAATATAACCGTACTTTGAGGAGTAAAATGGCACTTTTACCTGGCTCAGGAGTCACAGTGAAGTCCAAGTGCAGACTGCTGAGCGGAGCGCGGGACAAAGCTGTTAACTCACCCAGTGAATGAACACCCAAATATCCCTCCGCCAAAGAGTTACCCTGAACACAAGCTGTAGTTGAATGTAGAGAATAAACTCCCAAAATCTAACACTTTAGCACTTTTTTGCGGGGGCAGACCACGAAAACGAAATAGCAATCTCCTCTTTGTTTTCTTTTGGATGATGGCATAAAATGTGCAGTTAAGAAGAAAATGCAAGTGCAAATAGGATGATTGATTACTTATTTTATTTATGAGTCAGATAATGCAGCCACATTCTTAAAATGAAAAAGCATTTCAGCAAATGCATTTAAATTTTAATTTTGGTCACGATTTGCTTCCATAAGATCTTGTACAATGTTCTGTAAGTTAATGTGATGTAACATGCAGAAATGTATCATTCTCTGGAGGTCAATTCAATTCAATTTAATTTTCTTTGTATAGTGCCAATAACAGAAGTTATCTCAGCACACTTTTCAAATAGAGCAGGTCAAGACCATACTCTTTATAAAATGATTTACAGAGACCCAACAGTTCCCACCATGAGCAAGCACTTGGTGTCACTGTCAGCTACAGATCAGACACTCTGCAGTTTGTGTGGATGCAGCAGTGTCTTATTGCTGTTTCAGAGCTCCCTCCAGTGATGTGGAGCAGTACAGTTTCTCAGTGTGGACTGTTATTATCTGTTATTTAAACACATCTGTGTGCAACAGACCATCTGGTTGTTAAATGAGATGGAGGGGAACAGTTCAGGTCTACTCACTGGTCTTGGCACAGAATAGAGGACGGCTATCAGAACAGACAGTATGATCAAACACACAATAGTTTATGTAAAGGATGAGGTGCAAGTAAAACTTCATTTTTATTGACTTAAAGTTAATATGCTGTTACAACAAAAGGCTGAAATAAAGTGAGAGTGTGAGATTTTTCTTCATCAGTATGTGAACAGATGTACTGACATCATCAGTGGTGCATTGTTTCACGTAAGAAAATATTTTAAAATGCCCTATCACGATATTTTACCTTCCAATATTGTATCTACATTTAAACCCCCAACGGCTAGATGTTGCAGTGTTATAAATATAAACTGAGGGCTCTGATGTTCTAGTGATAAATACTAATGCAGATCTCAATGTTCTGGTTGCATTAAAAACTTTTTAACTCAGATTTTAGGTATATGGTGGTGTGTTCTTTATACCATGACAGTTGTCCTAAAATTGGACTTTTAAAATTAAATCGTAATATATCGTCTAGCTTACAGTATCGTAATATAGCACAATATATTGAATCGTAACCCCCGTATCGTGATACGTATCGTATTGCCTGATTCTCGCCAACACACAGCCCTGTTAAACGTGTTTTGTATAGATATTATAAAGTGGACTGGATGAAGACATTAGTAATGCATTACCCTATAAAAATAATGGTTAACTAATGCTATTGGAATTTGAGGTAGGTTATTTGAAACATATCTGCAAATATGATCACACTAGAGCTCCAAATACTACATCAATTTACACTGAAATAAGTTGAACAACCCTAACCATCAACAATTCAAGATAGAATTAAATTTATTAACTCTTTCGATAAACACACACCCTTTCATTCTTCCTTCATCTCACCAAATACACTCACTTAACACTCACACTGAAGGTGTGAAAACAACTTCCTGACAACTTGTTTCTCTACAGCAAATGAATTTCTGCTTCAGTTTTCAAGTGTATGTTGCACTCTAGTGGAAGGTTACAGAAACACACATCTGGTCAGTGTGTAAGTGAAACAGACGATAACACGATAACCAAAGAAATTGTAGGAGTCAGAGTGGAACTGACAAAAAGGGATTTATTTACAGCTTACTGATGCTTGCAATCATACAACAGTATATAGAGAGGGTGGGACAAGGTGGCTGTGCTTAACAAATAGAATAAAAATGACTAAACTACAAACTGACAATAGACTAATCCCGTATAACCCCCCCCAAGAAAAAATAGAGGTTGCACCGACCAATAACAAACCAAGAATTGTTCTAAGAGTTTCAAAGATTTTCTTTTCTTGCTGCTCAAAAGTGAAAAAATAAATAAATAAAAAATGTCACATCATTGAATGAATAACAATTATTGATTGTCTGTATAGAAGCCAAATTCACATTGTGCTCAAAGACAACAACCCTATTTCCAGTTAGGGTGAGTTATTACATTATCATTATGACTCTTAAATAATGTTAAACCAGTGAATCCAGTACACCCCAAACATTATTTTACAGTTTGTTGTTTGTTTGTTAACACTGATACTATGTGTTTATCAAAAATATCTGACTAAATATTAAATATGGTAAGTATGACCTCAACACGTGAGCACATGGCAGAGACAAGGATGTGAGGTTTGGTCTTAAATAAGATTGTTAGGACAGGACGGCGAGAGAGGCAAAACGTTTCAGCCATTTAAGTCATAAAATAATGTTTTAAACAAGTTTTTTTTATTAAATTTCAGTTGTTTTTATGTCCTTTGAATTAATATTTTCTGTGTCTGCACATCCTGGTACTTCCATTGTAGCTGATTCTGCGGAGTTATCCGGTTCTGTGGTTGACTCCTGGGAATCAACTTGTTGTTGTGAAGCCACTAATGGTTGCGTTCTTTGTCACTGCAATTAGAAATTATTAAGGAATTCATGAAAGGACACAAAGAAAAACCTGTGCTTAGTTCATATTATCACTATCACTGGGGCGACGTAGCTCAGTGTGTAGGGACCTCGGTCGCCGGTTCAAATCCCACAGACCACAGTAATAAGTGAGGACTGGTAGCTGGAGAGTTGCCAGTTTCACCTCCTGTGCACTGCTGAGGTGCCCTTGAGCAAGGCAACTTTACCCCAAGAAACTGCTCATGGTGAGCTGCTCAAGTGGCTGCCCATCACTCCACCATCTCTCTCTCTCTCAATGTTTGCATGTCCACAGTCCCTGCATATGCATCGTGTGTGTATAAAATAAAAAAGAGTGAAAAGAAGAATTTCTCCAACAGGGGATTAATAAAGTATATATCGATCTATAACGAGAGAGGTTAAAAGTATTATCAAATACAATACTCACATTGGAGGTCTGTCCAGCATGACATTTCTTTCGCCAGATAAAGTATCCAGTGATGAAAGCTGCCACGACGACGAAAACTGCTGCAGCAACACCTCCAGTGACACCACCATCGGAGGATGCTAGAGAAGGAACTGGAACTTAACCAACAGAACAAACTTTTATCACAAGCCCATTTATACTATTATTGTGTGGTTCTGAAAGAGTTTAATAACAGCTCATTTCTGATTATGCTCAAAACATAATTATAGCCCTGCTCAGAAAGAGATAACATAGTATAGTTTGACATTTGGGGAAATAAGCTTTTAGATGTACATGAGAATATTGATACCACTCTCATATGTTAAATATTAGACTAAAGCCAGCAGCTTAACTTAGCCCAAGGAATGGAGACAGGGGAAACAGTTAGCTCTGTCTGAAGGAAACAAAATGTACCTACCAGCATCTTTAAATGTTTAACAAATGAACATGTCACGTTTCATTAATTTAATCTGTGCAAAAACTGATATGTAAAAACGACAAGTGGTGAACTGAAAGAATTGGTTAAACTGCAAAAACAGGGCTCAAAGTGTCGGCCACAACTGAACTCATTGTCTCCACAGCAACATCTTACTTTCATCAACCACAGCATGGTGGGAAATGTAGCTCTACAACTCACCACGTTACTAAATGAGAGTTTGTTTCAGTCTTACCCCAGTTGGTCCTGATCACTGCTTTGTCCAGTTTGGTGACGATGTCGTTCTTCACACCAGAGAGCTGAAACACACAGTCGTACCTCCTCCAGTCTTCAGGTGGGACTGATGAAAGTTTCAGGTCAACACTCATCTGGAAGGATCCATCGTGGTTGAGGAGGATCTCTCCGTGGTCCACGTCCTCATGAAGCTCCTCTCCATCTTTCCTCCAGATGAGTGTGGCACTGTCAGGGTAGAAACCTGTAGCGTGGCAGCTGACTGGAGAGGAGGGAGTCTTCTGGAGGAGAGACACTGAGGGAAGCTCTGGAGAGAGAGAGAGAGAGAGACAGAGACAGAGATGTGTGTTAATGAATATAGCTGGATTATAGCTCTACAGTAGCTCTATATGTATATGTGACACGTGTCCATAGAGTACGTAAGGTCATGTGATTCTACCTGTTCTCTGCAAAGTGTTGTTTGCATAGTCCAAATACTTCTTCAGCCAGTCAGAACAATTTGTGAGATGCAAGATAATGTTTTTTATTCTCTCTTTGTCTGTGTCCCACTGGAGTTTGGTGTAGCTAGCTTGTGGATGAGTTGAAGGGATCCATGTCTGTGTTATTGGGTTGAACTCCATGAAGCCTTCTCCATCATAACGGTACTCATCCGAAGTATAAACCTGGTCTTCCCACTCACAGCCATAGATCCTCTGGAAAGTGTGGACGTCTGAGAGAGAGACAGATACAGTAACATATTGGGAGCTCATAATACAGTACTATCTTATTGAGTCCAAACATTTTACAACAGTTTAAAACTTCATCCGTATGCTAACGGTCCAATCAGATTTTGCCAGCACTGCACTGATTTTGATATTGGGAAGGTGTGCAATCATTAAAAAAATAAATAATAATTGATAATTCCCCTCAAATGCACTAAACTAAAGTAATGAGTCTGTTTTGAAAATGTAGAAGTTAAGGATTTTCGGTTAGAAATGTCAGAAAAATAAGTAAAGTGCAGATACTTGAAAAAACAAACATACATTAATAAAGTATTTGTATTTAATTACTTTGCACCACTGGATATTGGTCATATTACAATGTTTAAGTACTAAAATATAAATTACCTCCAGTATGGCATACATTCATCAAACTGTCAATAGTGGAATTCAAGAAGTGTTGATTAACACGACACTCGTCAGTGTACCAGTCCCTGTGTCCTGGATCATCTTCCATTAGTCTCTTCATCCAGTCCTGTTTGGGTTCAGCTCTCTTGATGTTGCTGTCGTAGTGAACAACCTCAACTCCATCAACCATCACAGCACCAATGAACTCTGGGAAGTTTGTCACTCCAGAAAATCCAGCAAAGAAAAACTTCAGGGAGTGTTCCTCTGTAAGAAACACAATGTTTAATGGGTTTGACTTAACATTTCCTTTTTTTATGTAAAACTAGGAAAAAATATAACTACACTGATGTTATTTGTAACGTCTATTGAAGTAAATAATTCCTTAACTGTGCACTAAAGTGCAGAGTTTTAGAGGGACAAACATAAAATTGCATCTGATGTAAACATACCCCAGTTGGTTCTGATCACAGCCTTATCCAGTTTGCTGACGTTGTCGTCCTCGTCACCGAACTTAAACACACACTCGTAACTCCCCCAGTCTTCAGGTTTGACTGGTGGGACTTGGTCAACACTCATCTGGAAGGTTCCATCGTTGTTTGGGAGGACCTCCACACGACCTTCAATAGGAAACTCCTTTCCATCTTTCCTCCAGAACAGTGTGGCACTGTCAGGGTAGAAACCTGTAGCGTGGCAGCTGACTGGAGAGCGGGGAGTCTTCTGGAGGAGAGACACTGAGGGAAGCTCTGCAGAATAAAGAGAAAGAGACAGAAAAATATGGATCTGTGCAGTGGTTCTCAATATGTTGCTTCACATTGAGACATGTGAACAGTGATTCTACCTGTTCTCAGCAGGGAGCTCTTCCTATAGTGCAAATACTTGTTCAGCAACTCAGGACAATGCTGGGTGAGGTTAAATTTAATGTTGTTTATTGTAGCATTGTCACTGTCCCACTTCTGCTTGGTGATGAAAGCCTGTGGTGTTAAAGCGTTCCATTCCAGTGTCTTCGGGTCTAACTGTATGAAGTCTTCTCCATCATATTTAAACTCATCACAACCAATAACTTCTGGAGTTTTATCCTTCCAGTCACAGCCATAGATCCTCTGGAAAGTGTGGACGCCTAAAAGAGAGACAGAGACTGCAGTAAACTAGAGCCATCTGATGCCTTTGAGTCCATCAAAGTTATTTTCAGTTTATCATGTTTATCATCATAAAATAATCATCAGATTATATCCTGAAGATGACAAACAATCGACCAGCTATGGTGGAATGGAAATCAGTGCATTTAATGTACAAGAAGTGTACTTTAGTGCAATTTTGACTTACTTGTATTTGAGTGTTTTTATTTTATTTACTTCATACTTGCTTTATAATTCAAAGAGAAATATTTTACTTTTACATTTTACTTGTTACTTTCAGATTACGAATTGAAAAATATTATACAGTTTATACAATCTGATGAGATTAAACTATTTGACATTGTATAAAGATGCTCAAATGATCTACACCCAATATTATAATATTCCAGTTGTATGTATACATACTAATACTAATTTATACATTTATAGTATAGTATACTTCTTAAGAGCTCCACCATTATCAATCAATAAGACCATTGTAAACAGGAAACTTATACACCAATATACCTCTTGTTTGATTGAGGTCCTGCATCAAACTGTCAATAGTGGAACTGAAGAAACGTTGATTAACACGACACCCGTCAGTGTACCAGTCCCTGTGTCCTGGATCATCTTCCATTAGTCTCTTCATCCAGTCCTGTTTGGGTTCAGCTCTCTTGATGTTGCTGTCGTAGTGAACAACCTCAACTCCATCAACCATCACAGCACCAATGAACTCTGGGAAGTTTGTCACTCCAGAAAATCCAGCAAGGAAAAACTTCAGGGAGTGTTCCTCTGTAGGGGAAATACATTTTCAGGTTTCTGAAATACACTTTTTATATTCTTTTTGAATGATTATCTAAAAGGAAGAACACACATTTATTCATGAGTTTGGTCATATTTATTCAAGGCTAATCATTTGGAGTTTGAACCAATTATTTACCCAAAGTAAATGAGTAAATATATTATTTACTTTGAATCGGGTGCTCATTTATTGTGAAAGTGTGAAAACTGTAGCAGGAAACTTATTTTCTTTCTCTGCACTTTCTCTTTTACGTGCAGATTGATTGCTTGTGCAAAGGACAGTTTCCTGTGACCTGCGGTGAACAGTTTTCTGTTCCCACGCACCCCAAAACATCAGCAGGGAAAAGCTCTTTTACTGAAGTGAAAGTAATTTCATTTACTGTAAACTGCAGTTAACATTGCAAACAGTTCCCATGCACCCAAAGGGATGCACACAAAACTGTATATAAGTAATTTAATATGATCCATATAAAATAAAACAACATGCAACAATAGGCAACATTATATTACATGATATTAATATACCGTGAAACAAACATTTTTTATTATTTTATAAACATTTACACGATTGAGCATTAAATGTAAAATGCACCGATTACATTTATACAATCCTAAAGTTTTCAAAGTCATCATTTAAAATTTATAAATTAATACATAATTTAATTTATAAATTAAATTAATACATCATTTTTACAGGAAATTAATTAAGGAAAAAAGTATAATCTTACCTGGAGATGCAACGTGACAGAAAATGAGAAATATAAATAATTTCTTCATCTTGTTTTGATAAAGAAGAGAGCTGACCTACAGATGAACTTCAGACCTGAGTCAAGAGTGGTGACAGAAGTGAGACATGAAAGGTTACAGACAGTTCATCCGTGATAACAGACACACAGTAGAAAGCATCCTAACCACAGAGGCAGGATAATCAGAGGGTAGGTGTCCCCTGAAGCTGAAGGAATCTACTGACTTTAAAGGGAAGTTAAGTCTGTTTAATCAGGATGTATTTTTATTAGTATTCCATACTTTAATCTGGCACAAATTCATATATTTGTATTTGTTGTTTTCACAATATGAAACACAGAATGTGCAGACTCCCCTCTATAGGTAGGCCACTTGGTTCATTCCACACACCCAACAACAGGAACCTGCCTCCAACTGACAGTGTGAAAAGATTTATTTACCAATGATAGCATACAAATTATAAAAAGTATTTCCTTACTTTATGGCTCAACTGCATACTTGTAGTTAGACTGCTGTCTTATGATTTACAACTTTTCTGTGCAGTTAGTAGTCCTTATGTTGGAAATGGTACTGTAGTGTGGGAGGAAAGGGTGGGGGCACTCTTTTTATTTCATTTGTAAGTAAAGAACTACTTTGACAAATGTGTTGGTAGATTGGTGGAAAAACATCCGGACAAAACAAAGAAAACAGAACAGTCAAGCTTCACTTTAGAAAATACAGAGAAATCAGTTTTTACTCCTGATTAAAAACTTTCAGATTAAAAACATCTTATAAGCATAAAAATATTCATCTCAATAAACTCAATATGTAATGAATATTGTATATTAAGGCATTCATACTGCTGACAAATACTACAACATTTCCTGTTTCGGGGTGCACCTGCAGTTCATTGGTTCAAAAGCCACAAAAACGCAACTTCTCTGAATGTAACAGGAACCATAGTTATATCTCTTTCCCTCCACGTTTCCTGCCATTTTAAAACAGTTTTTAATGCAACAATAGCATAAAAAACATAAAAAATAATGACTTTTTGAGTGCTGAAACACAGCCAGCATTTGGTTTTACATATTTGTAGTATGTGTTGTATAGTTTTATATGCTTTATGTTCAAGTCTGTGTTCAGTGTTTCACTTTGGGGAAGTTCAAGTTGACATTGTGGCTTTATAAACACCAATTTCTAAGAAGTTCTTCCTTGGTTTCCTTGCAATTTCTCAGATAGATGTCACTGAATCCAACACACCAGTTCTATCTAGAATTGCCACGATAAACACAATTTAACCATTAACACGTATTCACATGAATGACAAGTGAAGTTGCTGGTGTAAGCAGTTTACAATGAACACAGTTATACCATCACTGCATTATACAGACATCTAGATAACCAGGAAGAGTAGGCAGGATTCATCTGATGTTCTCCGAGGCTTTCGGTGCCAAACTGATTGCAACAGAAGAGAAGAGTCGCCGTTTACATTTTAAATTACTGTTTTGTCAGCATTAGGGACAAAGGCCATCTGTTTAAACATGGAATTTAAATGTGTTCTTTTCCAGTAGAGACAGGAAGTTAAAAAAAACAACAAAACGTTTTCAGTGTTTACTGATACAAGACTTATTACTGATCTTACACAACATTTGGCCGGAGCTTGTTATTATTTCCAACGTCTGCTATTTGTTGCTCATTAGAAGGTTGCTTTTAAATTGAAAGTTGGATATCGACCATTCATATAGCACATAATTTTCATTACTAGATTCACATTTTTCACACATTTTCAGCTGAATGTGCTTTTTTGTGAGAAACAACTTAATGACATCGTCAGATAACAACCCTGCTTCAACAGATGGAAAAAATTACCAAATAAAATGTTGTGTTTAGACTTCAGTAAGTTGTTTCTCTTGACAAAGAGGACTCATTGAGTGTACAGCTGTTGTTGTCCTCTAGTGGAAAGTTACTGAAACACACAATTAAGTGACCTCCTTTTGATAAGTAAATAAACGTTGTCTTTTTTATCCTCCAACAGTGTGTGAGCTCCTTCAGTCCTCATGTGCAAAGTGACCAAAAAATTAAAAACTCAATGACATTGCTGATGTTTAATGTATTATATAATGTATAATGTTTACCATGCTAGTTAGCAATCAAAACAAAGTACAGGTTAAAGGTTGATGTGAATCACATTACATATACATAAACCAAAGATCTGGGCAGAATTAAAGTTGGTTAGTTAGTTAGTAGAATTTGAAAGATATTTAGATATTTCTATTCAAGGCTTTACTACTGTGCGTGTGTAAATATTGAAATATGTGATTGTTTGTGATTATTATTTCTCTATCTGTCCGTGTGGGAAAAACAATACAGTTCCCCAAAACTACTGTATCTCTGAACTCATCACATTTAGGCTATTCTATGTGATTTCATTTTAATAACTAATGTAATAACTAATTTAATACTTTCTCATTTCCACTCTCAGAGCGTTCATGTTCATGTCCATGCACCTCTGCACTAGATGAAAACATATTAATTATTAAAGTTATTATTTGTAAAGTTATTAGAAATCCTCCTGAGGGGAACATGTTGTTGAGATTGTCTCCAAAAGCCACAAACATGAACCTCTTGGTGGCACTTCACCAATGTTATTAGGATTCAGTCTGGGATCCATGAACCATATAATACTGCAGTACTGTAACACTTTTAATGATTTCATTGCCATCCTTAAAGCCACAATACTAGCCTGGTAAAAAGCAAAAATATGTGCACAATAAAAGTAGTAATTAAATGATTATCCAATACTGTCAGTCCTTTGTAGATGGACAAAGTGAGCTTTGGGTTATTTCCGTGTTAGCAGGTTGGAACCCTGAAATATGAAATAAAAGAGAATTATTATCACGATTTTAAAATGTATAAAAGGCAAATGGTAACACAACACATTCTAGAGCAACATGTAATTTCAAATAAACTAAATATGCATATCCATCACTTCTGATTACAGTCTTACCATAGTTGGTTTTGATCACTGCTTTGTCCCGTCTGTGACGACGGAGTCCGACACAGACACCTGTCCTTCAGGTGGGGCTGATGAAAAGTTCAGGAAATGTCTTTAGTTTTAGTTTTTGTCAATTTGGTCAAATTTGTCAACTACAAGCTGACAAAACGTATTATAGCAATAATAATATAAAACACTGAAACTAAACAGTAATTTTTAGACAATATATGACAATAATGACGAACCAACAAGTTAAAATAAACCCACAACAATAATAAAATGCATGTGTAGCATATTAGGTGGAATAAACTAAATGGGTTTTCCCACCTCTATCACTCCTGATCCCAGTCTTACCCCAGTTGGTCCTGATCACTGCTTTGTCCAGTCTGGTGACGATGTCGTCCCTCACACCAGAGAGCTGAAACACACAGTCGTACCTCCTCCAGTCTTCAGGTGGGACTGATGAAAGGTTCAGGTCAATACTCATCTGGAAGGATCCATCGTGGTTGGGGAGGATCTCTCCGTAGTCCACGTCCTCATAAATCTCCTCTCCATCTTTCCTCCAGAAGAGTATGGCTCTGTCAGGGTAGAAACCTGTAACGTGGCAGCTGACTGGAGAGGAGGGAGTCTTCTGGAGGAGAGACACTGAGGGAAGGTCTGGGAGAGAGAGAGAGAGAGAGAGAGAGGGAGACAGTTTATAAGTTCTTTATTAGCATTTACCGTGTATTAATATTATCATTCCTGTTTAATGTTATGATTTTTTTATGTTTTAGTAACACACGCTATATACATGTATGCAAAGTAGATAAACCCCATTGAAGTGTTATTGAGTAAAGACGAGAGAGACTACATCAGGTCATGTGATTCTACCTGTCCTCAGCAGAGAGCTCCTCCCATAGTCCACATACTTCTTCAACCAGTCAATGCACTCCTGGGTGAGGTAGTGTTTTGTCTGCACTATCTGAGCTCTGTCATTATCCCACTTGTGTTTGGTGATGACAGCCTGTGGCACTGGAGCGACCCATGTCTCTGTCCTCAGGTCAAATGCTATGTAGTCTTCTCCATCATAACCCCACTGATTGAAACCATTAACCTCATTAGTCTCATCGTCCCACTCACAGCCGTACATGTTCTGGACAATGTGGACACCTGAGAGAGAGACAGACAGAAACAGTATTAAACCAGAGTGAGACCAACAGTTTATCTCCACTGTTGAAGGTGCTGTGACAGTGAGTCCTGTTCAGCACTGTGTTACTACAACTGGTCAGAATAAGGCAGAGACCATCAGGACCATTATGGAGACTGGGAGGCAGTCTGTGTGTCCTGATTGGTCCATCCATCAGTCAATCAATCAATACGACCAACAGCTGTTTCCTCCTGCAGATGTTGTCTTGATGCTGCTGATGGGACGGACCAACACACTGTGGTCAGTACAGCAGAGTTCATCTAATCTAATCTGTTGTTCTACTGAATATTTACGGCTCAATTTAATCATTATTTTCATTATCAATTAGTTATTGATTAATCGATGTGAAAGCTGCATGCTGCCTGTTACGTCACTCCAGCCTTTGAGTCTGCTTTTTTTTTTTTTTTAACTTCTTAACTTTTATTCTCTTTTCGTTGGTTGTTATTTGTTCACTGTGACTCTATGAAGTCCTGTCCTCTCTAACGATGTTGTCTGAGAGAGTTTTTGTGTTTTATTTGGTGTTTTAATGCCGCTTCCACCGGGACACGCTGCCGTTGTTTACTCCGGAGAACAGCTGATGGCGCTAATGGCGGCCGGTATAGTGGCCAGAGCCGCTGATTGACCACCTGAACTCTGGAGGAAACACACCGGGGATGAAGAGGAGGGAAGCAACGTCGGGGGAAGAGAGGAGGGTGGAGACGGGACGGGTTTATGGAGAAGATTGAAGCCGAGTCTCCCCTCTGTTGTTATGGTGAATGTACGGTCTCCTAGCAACAAGATGAACGACTAACGGCTTTACCGCGGAGCCACGCGGAGAACCGAGTATATATAAATATATTTATTCTTAATATATGTATGTCTGTTACATATGGAGTAATGTAACGAAAGTAATTTCCCTCTGGGATTATTAAAGTATGTCTGAGTTACTTTTTTATTTTTTGTTTAAAGTCAGAAAATTCCCAGAGCCAAAAGTGAAATCTCCAAATGTCTCCTTTTATATTATGGGATGGACAGACTGTATCAGTACAGCAGAGTTAATATAATATAATCTGTATTCTACTACATATTGTGGGCTCAAACTAATTATTCCTGTCATTATTGATTAGGTAATGACTATTTATTCTGATTAATCAATAAATCGTTGATGTTGTAAAATGTTCAGAAACAGTGAAAATGTCCATCACAAGTTCCCAGAGACTAAAGTTAAATCTTCACATTGATCCGTTGGTCCGACCCAGTGCCGGTCCGTGGCATAGGCAGTATAGACTAATGCTAAGGGCGCCGTCCATCTAGGGGCCGCCACGATGGGTGTAACTGCCCCTGTCGCCACTTTATTTTCTGTATTAGCACTTTTTATTATTTGTTTCTTCTGAATTGTATGTTTACAGCAAGACGGAACTAATTATGTGTTGTAGTGTTTAAGTACAAAGGTTTACAAAGAAAACAGACAGAAGCAGAGACGGGAGATTTAAAAGGATGTTTAGCAGCTCTTTGTGATGAGCAGCGATGAGGTTTGTTGTTGTTTATTTGCTGTGACGCTGTTTGTGTTTACATGTGTCAGTTTTAGTGAATAATAAATATAAAGTGTCTCAGCTGTTTATGGGCTGGATTATAACATTAACAATATTAATTATTATATATATTTATTGTTATTATATTATTATATTTCTCAGGGACATTTGTAAAGATTAGATCTATTCAGCAGCTGTTTACATTTGTTTACATTGTTATTTGTATTTATTATTGTTTAGTTAACGTTTGCTCTGCTTGTAACAGTCAGTCAGATGCTTTTCCTTTCACACACCTTTATATATTAGAGTTGTAAGCCTTGTTGTTTGTTGTGTTACAGTTCAGTATTGTCTAAAGTGTGTTTATAGTGTTAAACTTTACATCCATGTTAAAGTGCACATCATTAATGTTAATACATTCCCATATGTTATATTATTCTGCAGTTTACTGATTCTTTACATTCTGATAATCAGCATTTCACTGTAATGACAATAACATTCAATCTAATGTAATTTGTATATCAGAAGAAATTGCACTGTATATCATTCATGTACAGTACAGTGAAAGTAATGCATCTCTTAGGTTTTTCATTTTTATTCTTTCATTTTATTCCTGGAATCATTTCTGTTATTATTAGACTGTAACACCCAACTCTTCCTGTTACAGAGGCTGCTGCTGAAAGAAGATTCTCCGAGCTCAAACTCATTAAACCTTACCTGAGATCTGCTACGATGCAAGAACTCAGTGGACTTTCCATCATAAGCATCAATCATGTGATCTCAGATCAGTTGTCATATGATGATGTTGTAGATGACTTTGCTGTAAGAGAGACTCGGAGAGTACAACTGTAGCAGGGGATGTGAGGATGACTAGGTGGTGGTGTAGTTTAATTTATTTTATCACTTGTTTACAGTTTTTATTTTGTAGGTAGTTCAATTTTATACTTTGTGGGCTATTTATATTTCTTGTATTATTTATTTCTAATTTATTATTTTCTTGTTAACTGTTTTGATTGAGCAACTTGTTTCTCTAAAAATAAAATAAAATGTCAAATAAAATCAGTAAATTCTCTTATTTGAGAAACTGGAACTAGAAAATGTTTGTTTCAGTTTAATAAAATAATTCAATTATTATTTATCAAAATTATTGTGAATTAATTCCCTTTAATCAACTAATCTATGAATAGACTAATGGTTTCAGCACTATATATGTTCATTATGACACAGACACACTGTGGTCATGTAGAGTTAATCTAAGCTGTAGTTCTACTATATATATACTGTATATTATGGGATGGACACAGTGTGGTCGGTACAGTAGAGTCGTGCTGTTAAACTGTTTAAACCTCTGATCTGAATGAGACATTGACCATGTTGTCCTGTCAGCAGCTTTATTAAAACATACTGCTGCTCCTCTCATATGGGGACCCAGCAGAAGCAGCCTGTGTCCCATTTACAGTCCGGCTCCGTAGTTTAAGAAACCAGGCAGTAATGTTCCTCTATCAGCTGTGTGCTGTCAAACTGTTGTGATGAACAGGTTCCTACAGTAGAGTTATTATGGAGCGACTCACTGTGGGCAGTTCAGTAGAGTTATTCTGATCTAATCTAGTGGAGATAAAGTGTTAATGATCTCTGCTGGTTATTATGGGATGGACACAAACACTGTATAACAACATCAGCTCATTAAAATACAAGATAAAAAATGTAAACAACATGTTATCAGTAGAAAGTGAAACATAAACAAACCTCCAGTTTGGTTGAAGCGCTGCTTCGCTATTTCAATGTTGGCTTTGAAGACCTGTTGGGCACCCACAATGCTCTGAGTCTCTCTCTCCCAGTACTGAGGATCCTCTGCTGTGACTCTGGTCATCCAGTCCTGTTTGGGTACGAATCTCCTGGTGTTACTGTCATAGTAATCTATCTGACCATCATCAACCAACCCAACAGTCACAAACTCTGGGAGGTTTGGGACTCCAGAAGACGCAGTGTAGAAATACTTCAGAGAGTGAGTCACTGTAAGAAAACATTAATGTAACATTTCAGTTTTATAAATCACTGAACAATGTTATTGTCCTGCACACAGAATCAAAGAGAACTACAGTACATTCAAAACATCTTAATAATCTCTGTTGTGCAGTCAATAAACACAGAAATACATTTATAGATGAAGATTTTGTTCCAGAAACTCTTTACTTTAATATTTCTGATGATTCTGTCTTAAAAATAATATTTATTCTGAAATATCGAAAGACCAAAATATTTAGTTCCTGCAGTTTTGTACCTGACTGCTTCATTAGTACACTCCTTGTTATTGTATAAGTTTAAAATCTGAAATCATCTGAACAAAATATATATGCTGCATGTGATTCTCATTTTATTTTCTACATTCAACAGACTCAAAACTTTTCTATTTAATATTTCTATACATCTATCTTATACTATAAACTGTGACCAGTGATATCTTATCAGTCAACCCTGTCAGAGGGTTTGTGCATTTCAAATGTTTAAGGTTTTTTACAGCGGACAAGAAAATAAATATCTGACCCAGTTCCCCTGTGTACCTCACTTTCATATATCTCATATGTGTCTTATATCTGCCGTATGCTGCGAGCTTTAAGCACCAAGGGGCCTCACATTGTAAGGGCCTTGTGGTGTTTGCACATTTTAAACACCAAGGGGCATGTAAGAGCTGACGTGTTTTTTTAAAATAAAATAGTCATGAACAGTTTAAAGATTGAAATTGTCAAGTTAACTTAGTTTTGGATAAGAAACACTTTGTTTTAATACCTTGTAGTTAAGTTTTTATAACTTTTTTCTTTATATGTTGAATTGTTTTACATGGAACCATTTAACTTCAAACTTGAAATAATCTTAACTCACCTGCCACTGCACCGTGTAGACCTAATCCCAGCACAGCCAGCCACATCAAAGCCCTCATAGTGAACTGTCGAATCTGATACTTTCAGACTGAACAATTGATATTTTCCTTTGTCAACGCAGACAGACACTGCAGATCCAGTTCTAGCAAGAAGAGCAAGTGAGGGGAAAACACTAGTAGCTCCACCTCCATCTGAACCAATGGGAATTGAATTGGGGAATCAACGTCACTTATAACTCAGTAAAGAGGTTCAGTCATTTATTCATGAAAGTGAAAGTAAAATTAGTTTATAAGCCTGTATAAGACGATGGCGAGACACAGGGCTATATTTTGGGGTCTCAAAAAGGCGTAAATCACACACAGACATGTCCCCCTTACTTTTGTTTAAGGTTGTATTAGAGCGCCACTTTTAACAACCCAAAACTAATATTATACAAAAAACAGGAGACACTGCACACACTAGGACCATGCAGAAACAGGGTCTGCTGAAACTCTGAGTCCCAATACCAACCCCCCCCCCTTCCTCTTCTCACAGCTTGCACAACTCAAACAGCATTTTATGTCCACATCTTACAAGATAACATTGTTACTATTACTAACATTTACTGCCACATTCTAGGGTGCTCCACACTAAATATGACATTTATCTGTAAACTAAATTATATAACTGTACAGGGATGGAACAAATCAAAGCTGGTGGTCGAAAATGGCTCCATCCCATCACCCTGAACCTTGTACCTTCACTTCCCCTAATGCAGAGTAGGTTGGAAAAACAGCAGACATGTAATAAGAATACCAAGCTGGCTCCCCCCCCCCCCCCGACTGGTTCTGTGCAACTGTAAACAAACTACTTCCAACTCATTATCATGTATGTGTTTTACTCCAGTCCAACCTTTTTCTAATCAGCTGCTTTCTGCCAACATTAAGTTAATCTCCACCGTACTGATGTGGCTCTTAATCAAAATGTTGTTATTTGGGTGATGTGGTATATCCAATGCTCCAATGCTGTTGCCTGGCGTATTTTACAAAGTGACCAACACGGTTAATTGTTACAAAACCGATCACTCCACAGATGCACAATCTTCTGTTTCCTCTTTCTTTTTCCATGGTAGTCCAGATTTGACACATGCAGTTGAGGTGTTATCCAGAGTGCTGATCCTGGAGCTGTCAGAAGGAACCCACCGTCAAAATGTCCCAGTGAGAGGGACTGAACGGTGATTAGTTTTACCTCTCACACACAGTGTTCCAGACCATATTTGTTGAATCTTACAGTCATTAGAGGCAACCACCGGCTCTGTCAGTCGTGTTCAATGTGCTGTGGGCCATTTGTATCAGTGTATACTGCTTCACCTCAGTGTTACTCCCGATTCAACCACATCACTGCTCTCCAGATGTTTTTATCTCGGAGAAAATCCTGTCTGGGAAAGTGTTGTGGTTTTGTTGACTCATCACTTAGTGAAGTTCAGCTTCCTCTTCTGTTACCCTGTCAATAGAAACAGTGAAGAAACAGCAAAAGTGAAATCTTTCTCATATTTGTCTTCACATTATGAAGCACATTAGTTTTTTATGAACAGAATAAGATATTAGCACATGATACTGTGTGTGATGTTGTTTATTTTATTGCTTTTATTCTCTCTTATGTTTGTATTGTTTTTATATTTAATGTAATTATTCTTTTTTAATGACTTTAATATTTATATTTTTTCATATCTTGCCTTTATTTGGCCTTAGTGCCTGCCTCTGTTGTCATATTGCCTATCGTATTGAGTATTCTGCTTCTGCTTTGTTTATCAAATCATGTTGTAAACTATGTTTTTATAGGTGCTATACAAATAAAGTTATTATTATTATTATTATTATTATTATTATTATTATTATTATTAGTTGCTCATCCACAGTACTTACTGTTAGCAGGTCGGAACCGTGAAATGCAGGCGTCATATAACTATGAACGGGGAAAAAGAAACAAAAACTTTTTATTACACAGGTATTTATTCTAAATTAATTTGTGGATTAAAAACAGTTTGTTCCTCACCATTATTGTTTCTTCTCCACATTAAAAGCCCAATAAGGCAGACTGAGAGGATGAGCACTGCTACAATTCCTCCAATAACAGGACCAGCAGGAAACCCTGAGGGAGAACCTGGAACCAAAACAGAACATTCACACTTTTAATCACATTGTTATAACTTATCAAGCCATGCTGTGTGGTTAGTTCTGGGTATTCTTCTCTAAATTGTATATGAACATTCAGGCAGAGTTAGCAATGCTGTCAATCATCATTGGTCAAACAAATGTGTCCTACACCGTATCAGTGTTTAGTCTAAGTGGGTACATTCATTCACTGGCAGAAACCTGTTCAAGTGCAGATGGGAGGAAAGAAGTTGATGATATCAGAGCAAACCTTTAAAGTATTCCACACTCTTTTTCTTTGTTTCTTGGTGCATGGGCTGACTACATTCGATTTTGTTCTAGCACCTATCTATCGGTGAAGCCATTTAGCTTTGCAGGAAATGTCAGCATCTGTCCTCTAAATGTGGTTGCAGTTGCACAATGTTTTTAAGATGCATGGAAAAAATGTCATGCTGTAGACAGCAGAAACTTCAAGGGGTGCTTATGGGTTAAAAAGCCATTCACAAACAACGTCCACAGTTTGAGGGTGACAGAGAGCTTTGCCGCATCTCTCTCTCATTTCCTGTCATCTCAATAAAACTGCACAAAAAATACTCGTAAATGTCTGTTTTATGTTCAAGCCTGTGTTCAGTGTTTTACCTTCTAGCTAACTGACAACTAAATATCCAAGACCTTGATCTCAGTCTTACCCCAGTTGGTCCTGATCTCTGCTTTGTCCAGCTTGATGACGATGTCGTTCTTTACACCAGAGAGCTGAAACACACAGTCGTACCTCCTCCAGTCTTCAGGTGTGACTGATGAAAGGTTCAGGTCAACACTCATCTGGAAGGATCCATCGTGGTTGAGGAGGATCTCTCCGTGTTCCACGTTCTCATGAAGCTCCTCTCCATCTTTCCTCCAGATGAGTGTGGCACTGTCAGGGTAGAAACCTGTAGCGTGGCAGCTGACTGGAGAGGAGGGAGTCTTCTGGAGGAGAGACACTGAGGGAAGCTCTGGAGAGAGTCAGACAGAAACAGACGAGTTTATACTCAGACACAAGGACGTGTCTATATATTGTTTCCTTGTTATTTGAATGTTACTGTGCACTAGAAACAGTAAAGGAACATGAATGTTGAGTCAGTGTACCACAGTACATCAGGTCATGTGATTCTACCTGTTCTCTGGAGAAAGCTCCGCCCATAGTGTACATACTTCTTCAGCCAGTCGGGGCATTTGTGGATGTAGTAGTTTTTATTGTATTCTAATCTAGCTTTCTCAGCATCCCACCTAAGTTTTGTGATGAAAGCCTGTGGTTTTGGAGCAGTCCATGTCAATGTCTGCAGGTCCAATGCTATGAAGTCTTCTCCATCATAACCGTACTGATTAAAACCAGTAACCTCTCCAGTCTCGTCATCCCACTCACAGCCGTTCATCCTCTGTAAAATGTGGGCACCTACGGGAAAGATAGAAACAGAGACTTTAGAGAGACTCTCTAGAGACGGAAATTAAATTGAGGGTTCCGAGGAAGAAAGCCATAACTGAACACCCACTGTTTAACACTATGTAAGCTGCCTCTCTCTGTTAGGTGACTTTGGCAGGGCAGTCACTGGTGATGTTACATTCTGAGACGTGTGACAAATTCAGGAAGATGTGAGAATTTGGCAACTAAATGGCTACGGTGCAACGAGGAACCTTGTGCTGAGAACAAATCTGGCAGGCAGGTACGAATTGCCAAGAATTTGCTATCAAAGTCAACCAGGATTACTGTCCTAGGAGTGCAGAGTGACATTAATGCTGGGACGCAAGACCACCAGTCCATGACACTGTGTGCACCAGGGTCATTGAATACAGACGGTGTCAGCCAGGAGTAACTGGGCTTTCAGGAGAAGTGATTATGGTGGTGGTGGATTATGTGTAGGGCTGCACAGTTAATTGGAATATTATCGAAATCGCTATATGGCAAAGTGCAATATGCAAATCACAGAAGCAATAGGCAAATCGCAAGAGTTGTAATGTTAAAGGTAAAATGTGTGTCAGCGTTATAATGAAGTACTGTAGTGCTGCCGAGGCGCCCTGCTCTACAAATCTTGCTCTCCAGATTTAAGAAACCAACCAAAATGTGTTTGATACAAACCCCCAAAATTTCACATACTCACGATTTTATTAGGTTTTCTGTTCAAATTCTATTTGTGATTCAAAAATTATCATTCCCACCTATCTGTGAATCGCAATATCTTTCAAAATGATTCCAATATGATGTTTTTACCATATCGGGCTGCCCTAATTATGTGTAGCATAAAGCCTGTGCAGGTACGTGCATATTGGTGCTAATTACAGGTAGGTGTGGAGGCAGGTGGAGAGTCAAGTGAGTGGCAGAGGCAGGAAGGAAGTCTGTGTTTCTTAACTGGTCCATGCAAAAGAAAATAATTACACAAAGCCACCGGCATTTGATGTGTGGTTAATTTTGGATGAACAAAAGCAGTCGAAGTGGCCAAACTTTCAATCAAGTATGTAAATAATTAGGAAACAAACACTGGGGAAGCACACAAAGAGTTAAATATGACCACAAACACACTGTACCTCCGGTTTGGTTTAAGCGTTGCTTCAAGCTGTCAATGTTGGCTCTGAAGACCTGCTGATTACCAGAGCACTTCAGAGCATACCAGTCCAGGTGTTGTGGGTCATCCTTTATTAATTTTTTCATCCAGTCCTGTTTGGGTTCTGCTGTCTTGATGTTGCTGTCACAGTAACCAACCTGAACTTCATTAACCATCGCAGCACCCACAAACTCGGGAAAGTCTGGAACTCCAGAAGTTGCAGTGAGGAAATATTTCAGGGAGTGTTTCACTGTTGGGCAAAGACAGCTTTTAAATTACAATCTCTAAATTTGGGGTTGATTGATTAATTCCCCCCAACATAATGGTCTAAAAAAGAATATGTTACATTATAGACCTATTCCAGTTACTAACATTTTAAGCTGTAACTTCGTGGATGGTCAGTTTACAATAAATTTGTAATAGAGAAGAAGTTACAGCACACACCTAATTATCGTAGTCTTATTTGAGCTCATGTACACCAGAGATTTGCTCTTTTGCAGCTGTGTATCTATGCAATTATTATTAAGTTATTAAGGAAACCTAGTTGTTGGAATTACTATATATACTATATATATTATATATGTGTATAGTTATGTGATTGAATTATGTCATATCAAAATATAAACAACAACAAAGGCAGTTATTATAATATAAATTGGGGGACATATCCCCTCCAATACCAAAATATGCTCAAAATGTTTCCTGCCCCAATATAATACAACACTGTACTGTCTCTAAATTACATTGCTTACTTACTACCATATGAATGTTACGTATAGGCTACATCACTGTCGATTGTGCTGTTTTTTGGAAAATGAAAAAGTGCACATATTGACACCTGTTGGCCTCCACATTATAAAACATAATTCATTAATTATTAATGAATAACTCCATGGCACAATAACACAATAACATTAGGGACAGTGAGTTGGGTGTTTCATTGAGAAAGTCCTAAAAACACCTTCAAGCTTCCGTCTCCTAGCAACAGTGTTTCTCAGTTTTCCCCCAAACATTAACAACGCGTTATTGTTGCCTTAAATCAAGTGTGAGTGAGTTGTTTTATAACGCTTGGGATTATATTTGTGCGACATTAAAAATCGAAAGTGAAACTTTTTGTCGCTCTGCGCAGAACCTTTTCAGCTTTTACATCAACAGGAACTACAGACTGATTTTAACAGTATCTCCTGACCTTACCTGCGGATGCAACCTGACAGAAGAGGAGCAACACGAGTAACCTCCTCATCTTGTTTTTAAATATAATATAATATATGTATGCCTCCAGCTCAGGAGCTGCAGTCAGCTGATTGACCTTTAATACTGAACCTGCGCACTGCGGGGTGTGTCCACCAGTCAGGAGGAGGGCTGTATGTTCAATGCAAGGACCAATGCTGCTAAATGGAAATATTCTACTGTGCCTACTTCTATCACTAATAATAATAATAATAATAATAACAATAAGAGCTTCCCTCTGTGTCACTGTGCCTCTCCTGAAACACTCTTAATTACTTACTGATGTCTTAATGTCATCAAAAAGTTTTAAAAATGAACATCTTATTCATGCTTTTTCATTACAGGTAGCTCACAACAAGAACAACTCCCCACTCTGTAATGACGCAGTTATATTGCAACATCTTTTTATTATTTTAATATTTATTGGGATGTTTCTACTAAAGCTCAAAAGTACTTTTTTAAAAGCTGTTGTTAAAGCTGAGTAATCTTTTCCCCCGATCAGATAACACTCTTTTATTATTATTATTTATTTATTTATTTATTTATTTATCAGCACTTTCTGTAAACAAACATCCTGTCCTCCTCCAGGATGCTCTAAAGTGATGAGTCAAACTTCTGGATTTTATCTCGCGATACTTCCGTTGAGCCCTCATCATCCCTCTCCTGTCTCCTTCACGGCTTCACGAATCCACTTCCTTTGGTATTTATGATCCGCAGAGTTTGTAGAAACATTGAAAAAGACGTTAAAGTGTAATTATAATCGTGTCGTGTCCAATTAAACGCGTGTTCACCTGTAAGGAGACGCGACGAGGGCGCGTAGAAGGAGCCGCGCTTTGAAATTGGAACGAGATCCCGCGAGATTTCGCTGAGTTAACTTGAGTAAATGCCACGTCTTCCTCCCGGTAGCATCAACGTAGACACAGATATCGGCGGTTTACCGGACACATCGCACACAGGACGGAGAGTTACCCAGCGGCCCGACAGCCACCGATACCTGACACAACCCGGTGAGGACGAACTGACTGTCTGCCGCCGTTTATCCCGCTTCGTGACGTCGCTGCTGCGGCAACGCGGGAGCAAGTTGGTCGGGAGCTAACGGGAGCTAACCGGCTAGCAGGCTTTCTTTATAACTTAGATTGAAGGTGGGGGGGGAGGTGGAGGGGGGGGGCAATGAGCATTGTTTGAAGACTGCAGCTTTTACTGTTTGTCGTGAGATTAAAATGTGACACTCTTTTTGTTTCAACGCTGAGAGATTATCCGCTTTACATCAACAACAACAACAACAACAACCTGCATTTGTGAAGTAAATAAACACAAAGCAAAGTTATAATGTGCAACACATCAGCAGCTATCTGTGCATAATGTACCCAGTGACAGATGTGCTGCTCGGCCACCGTACCCTGTAATCTCTGATGAGGTCTTCAGTGCGGTTTGAATGACCTGCAGCTTTTTTTTGGGCTCTGTAATGCAACATGGCTGATCTGATGAAGAGGAGGGCTGCACACAGACTGTGACTGAAGATGCACAGATTATGTGGTAATCTGTGTGAGAAAGTCAACCTATCCATTATTGTAATGTGAGCGTATCAGGCTGCAGAGGGGGGAGGGGGGGTTTTGGCCCACCGGCTTGTTTTCCACCATCTGGGGTTTAATTTTGTGTCCTCGGTGCATCACAACAAACCCAAATATGTGAAATATTTGCTTGATGTTGCAAGTGAAGTGAATGTTCTAGTTTTATTATATTATATCTACTCATATATCAGAGTATAGGTGTATAAACAGGGCCACTGAGTGAACATCAGACAGTGTATGAGTTTGTATTTATTCTCCACTGTTCTCTGTGTTAAGGGGATAATATGGGCTGTGTACGTCTGCTGGCACTGACGGTGGTCACATCTGCAGTACTCCTGTTAGCCTCCCGTTCGACCGTCGCTCACAGCCATTCCCACGGCGACCATGGACACGGCCACGGGCACCATCACCACGGCCACCATCACCACGGCCACCATCACCACGGCCACTCCCACGGAGAAGACGAGCCCCACGGAGAAGGCCAGCAGGTGAAGATGTTCCACGGAGCGAGCAAGTGGAGCGCCGAGGCCAACCTCCCTTCGCAGGAGGAGGAGGAGCACCACGGACACGCCCACGATCACGGACACGCCCACGATCACGGACACGATCACGGACACGCCCACGATCACGGACACGCCCACGATCACGGACACGCTCACGATCACGCCCACGATCACGGACACGCTCACGGACACGCTCATCAGGAGGATGTCGTTCGGGTGCACAAGGAGGAGAGTGGACACGGACACTCACACGGAGCGGAGAGGGTGAAGAGGGACGTGGTGGAGCTCTGGACGCAGGTGTGGTCATTGGTTAGAATGGGAATAACGGGAATAACGGGATGCCTGATTTCAATGTGGCCAGGAAGGAATATCTACGTTAGAGCTGGGAGGGAGATAGTCAGTATTTTATCCTCTTACAGCAGCTGTCGGTGTTCCTCAGGGTCACACTGGAGTCAGCGGCCCTCAGATTTGAGTTTAAACCAGTTTAATCGCTTATTTTGGGGAATATTCGTATTTGCTTTCTGGCTGAAAGTTGGATGAAAACACTCACAATCTGTCTGTTACGAGTTCCTAACAGACGGATAAGAGAGTTCCTAGTTTTACTTTTTGGAGTGAGTCTATCTGCTAGGCTCCAGCTTCATATTTAACTGGCAGATTTATGAGTGGTATTAATCTTCTCATCTCACTCTGAGCAAAAAAAAAATCTTTTTAGGTACTTTGTAGAAGAAATAGAGATTTAAAAACTATAACTCAGTGTTATTTTGTCCATTGAACACCTACAATGTGATGTACCTGAGCATAATTCTGCTCAACTCTAGTCTTTACTCAGCTTTATCACCAGAGGGCAATCAGCTGTAATTCCAAGCCAGCCAGCTGTTTTCTGGAGACAAAATTGGTTTGGCATGTTCTCACAAGGAGAATGTTCCCTGTTGACCAAAAAGCAACAAGTGGTCTGGCTTTGATTTAGGTCAGCCGTACTTTGATGGCTGCAGCCTTTCGTACGGCCGAGAACTTTCACTTCCTAAGTTCATTTAAGACTCGATGTACTTCTTGTTCTGAGGAGCGTGAATTGTGTCCCCGTTGCTAGAGTGAGTCACAAACACACCGTATGGGTATCCGTACAGTACACAGCAGTATCTAGTCGGAACAGATCCAGTGTGTGCTGCTTTCCCTGTGTGGCCGCTTTAGACTAGATTTACTGTATCACTGTAGTGCACAGACAGTTGTAGCCTTGCTATGTTATCTCAGCACTGAGTAATCAGGTCTATGCTCCTCCAGAAGCCTCCCAGGAGCAGGTTTTCCTCCACACACATCCCTGTTCCTCTCCTGTTGAATAGTTCTTCCAGTTTTTAATGAAATTCTCTTCCACGGGAATGAACTGTAAACCTTCGCCCATCCCTGTCTGCAGGCTATCGGAGCGACGCTGCTGATCAGTGCGGCTCCTTTCCTCATCCTGTTTCTGATCCCGGTTCAGTCCAACAGCGACCAGCACCAGAACCTGCTCAAGGTCCTGCTCAGCTTCGCCTCAGGCGGACTGCTGGGTGACGCCTTCCTCCACCTCATACCACACGCTTTGGGTAGGTAGTCGATCCGTTACATCTGTTTCCTGTCATTGTCTCACTGGCTCAGTTTCAAGCAGGAAACAAAGACAATGACAGATAAACGGTACACAAAAATATGTTTCTGAGAACTTATGAATGAGAAATCGGCAGTGCAGTAACAATCTGTATCAGCTGTGTGGAAGAAGACTTGAAACAAGCGACTGAGACCTTACACTCATTCCAAAACTGTTCAATCAATCAAAGGTTCAGTTCTATCAGACTTTGTAGAGCTCCCCCTGCTGGCCATTAGGAAGAATGCAGGTGTAACTTTTTATTTTATTTTATTTTAATGTCTATTTCCTTTTGTTTCATATCTGTTCTGCACAGAGCCGCACTCTCACCATGGCGAAGATCACGGACACTCCCACGAAAGTGAAGAGTCACATGACCACGGTCACTCCCACGGTATGCAGTAATTGCCTTTTCTTTCATTAACAGGTGCAAAAATCAACTGAAAAAAAAAAAAAAAAAGCTTTATCTGCTTTATAAATGGAGACGTTTGCAGACATCAAACTTTGTTCATGTGTCACAGTTCCTAACAGTTCCCTTTAACCTCCTCCTGCACAGGAGCTGCCCACGGTCACATGATGTCAGTGGGGCTGTGGGTCCTCGGTGGGATCATCGCATTCCTGGTTGTAGAGAAATTTGTGCGTCTGCTGAAGGGCGGCCACGGACACGGACACTCCCACGGGCACTCACATGGTACAGAATATTTTTGTGTCATAAAATATGAATCTGCAAACACAATCTCAGTCGCTTTAGTAACGTTTAGTTTACGTAACACTTTCAGATGCTCCCAAGGAAAAGGACAGTGACGGAGAAGAAGAGAAGGAAAAGAAGAAGAAAGAGGAGAAAGGAAGCAAAGCCGAGAAGGTGCCAAAGAAAGAGGAGAAGAAGAGCACAGGTGAGCAATATGTTGGAAACAAAGGTAGCTGCACTCAACAGCTCCCCCTGCTGGTCAGTTACTGAACTGCACTGTGGTTATTTGTTATGTCAGATATTGACGACTTAAAAAAACAAGCAGATAATCAACAACTCACCTGTTAGCTCTGATGAGGCTGTTTAACAGAACAGAAATGGGTTTATGTATAATGCATGTACATATCACTGGATCAGGCTTGTACCATATATGATTGATATATTTATATTCTATCTATCTATCTATTTATTTATTTATTTATTTATTTATTTAAATGCCTACACCATTCTATAGGTCCAGTCCATATGAGTGTAAAAGACACTAAACAGCAACATCAGCCAGGACGGCCTCATGATAAAAATTCTAATGTACAGTTCCACAAATTCAAAAGGAAAACATTTCATAAGATTACATTTTAATGACCAAAATGTCTCATTATGTTGGACGCAGTGTTCTCTGTCTCAGCTGCCGTAAATTCTATTTACATTTTTATCTTTATATAAAACAAAAATCTCCTCCTTGAAGAGCCATCCCAACATTTCACCTTCAGACGACCAAAACAAATCAGGGTGAGGATCATGTAACTGCAAAGCTCCTGGTTGGGATCGAACACTGGATACATTGATTTTGAAGATTTTGGAGGATTGTGCAGTTTGGTGTTATGTATTTTATTAAGGCGAAGTTCTTGTATAACTGTTTGTGTCTAAGAGTTATTTTGATACATTTATTCAGATTTTAATAATAACTTAGGAACCCGGTAAGCAGTTGTTTGCAGGCTAAAGACGTGATGTTTATGTTGTTTATGTTATTACTGGCTTAAAATTGAATAAAAAGAGATGTCTGAGTATGTAACTATAGTTTTTCAGCAGCGTTATTAATGACTGTTTGTTGAAACAACTACTTAAACTTCAAAAGTAAGCTAAAAACAGTTGTTGGATGCACTGAAAGTCACTAATATATTATTTAGTTTAACACAATAAACACCCATAAGTGAGCTGTAAACTCCTCCTCTGACTGTGTGCACTGATGGTGTCACAATTACACGTCTATCAAAGGCGATTGTGTTTTAAATGAGGGAGTGGTTCGAGGCTCAGCCCAAGTCACGTTTCTGGAGCTGCAGACGCGTGTTCTCTGCTTTTATAAAGTCATTATCAATTGTTTATTCAAGCATTGTGTCGATGGAGTCCTTCCTTTGCCTGCAGGGACAGACATTTGTTATTGTGCTTCTTCCGGTGTGCTGATGTGTGTTGTTCTTTTGGCTTCACTTATGTGCTGCTGGCATCCTGGAAATCTTTATGATCAGAACATTGTGACCTCCATCTAACAGAAAACGACTTGACCCAGTGTCCTAGATGGAGACACAGTTTCTATACACTCTTAACGCCATTTATCCCCCATTCTCTCCTCTAACACAGACATCAAGGTGTCCGCTTACCTGAATCTGGCTGCTGACTTCACTCATAATTTTACTGACGGCCTGGCGATCGGAGCGTCGTTCCTGGTTAGTCCAACAGTTGGCGCCGTCACCACCGTCACCATCCTGCTGCACGAGGTCCCACACGAGATCGGAGACTTTGCCATCCTTGTGCAGTCTGGCTGCACCAAAAAAAAGGTACCTGGCTACTCGGAGTCAAATAGAAGAATATAAAATCTCAGATAATCAGAAATTTCAAAGTATTACACCTTAAAAGAGTTTATTGGACCAAAATTCTGACACCTACATCGAAATATAAGTTACTTACACACTGTGCTCAACAAACCAGAAGGAGCAGAAATGGTACATACATACAGGTTAACAAAGATATCAAGCATACCCAAGCACAAAGGTATAACATAGGAATTAACACCAGCTGTATAAACAAACATATAGGTTGGATGGTTATTGTGTGCTGTACAGACTGTCCGTAACCCGATGCATATTGTGTCCTGATCCATTAAATCAGTAGTCGATGACCTGAACTAAAGCCACATTCATCAGTTATACAGACTTCATTATAAACCACTGTGAGAAACCTGCTGCACAGCATTGTGGTCTGATTGGCAACTATACTCTACAACCATCCAGCTCCTTGATATTCTTATAAAGCCCCAAAATCCTTGAATCTTACTGTCGATGCTAAAACTCAGTATGATGATAGAATGAGCTGGGAGCAGATTGTAGGAGTTAGGTATGATTACTTCTTTTCATCTTTTATGCTGATTTATTTAAGAAATTGTGTTCTAATAAAACTGTAAAATTTCCTGAAAGATTCAGAAGGAAAGAAGCTAAATCCCATTAATTAACCCTAACCCTCCTAATATAGAAACACTGTCAAAGGAAGGTTCACCACATTACAAATAAATAAATGTACGCAGAAATATTACCATTAAAACTGCAGTGACCCTCCTCCTCCTTCCCATCAGGCCATGTGTCTACAGCTGCTGACAGCCCTGGGAGCTCTGGCGGGCACAGCTTGCTCCCTATTGGCCGAGGGCGTGGGCGCCGCGGCGACCGCCTGGATCCTGCCTTTCACAGCCGGCGGGTTCGTTTACATCGCCACGGTGACCGTGCTCCCAGAACTGCTGGCGGGCCGCTGCAGTTTCGGCCAGTCCCTAATGGAGATCCTGGCGCTGCTGTTCGGAGTGGGCATGATGGTGCTGATCGCCGAGTACGAGTGAGACGCAGCGGAGCGGACAGAAGCTCCTGACAGAGTGAGACAGAGAGGGAAAAGGTCAAAAAGGTTGTAGGTAGAGTTCAAGTGGATTATTAATTGTCAGGGGTTTGTTTTCTTGTTTTTTTTTTTATTAATTGTGTTTTGGGACAAACACCCACTGATGGCGACCGGATGATTTTTGTCATGTGTTTTTTTTTTTTTTTTAGCAGTTCACTGTCACATCCTTGATCAGTGTCGATGTTTCTTTTTTCGGCTTCGTAAAAACTGTTCAGCAGGAGAGACTGAGAGCTGGAAAGAAACAACCTGGTGGTAAAGGTTTTTTTTGTTTTGAGGACTGCGGTGTTGTTCACCGACGGCCTTCATCACCAACAGGAAGGGGAAATCTTTCTGTCCACTCGTCCCCAAAATTCCCTGACCACTTTCACTACATGGATCAATCAGCTACAGTTTTATTGCAGCTTAAACTGACAGCCAGTCCCTTCCAAAAAGTCATTTTCTAGCCATAAGGTAACGCCAGAGTTTCTGTCATTTTTGCAAGTGGCTGGTCCTTAAAACTTCACTTTAGAGTCGGGTCATTGAAAGAGCAGAGAAAGCAATAGTCTGGCTCAGTTGTCCTCCCTACAGTGACCTGCTCTGTGATACTGTATGTGTTTAATGTTCGTTTCCTTTGGAGATATTGAATGTTAATATTTTTACATTCCACAAAATAAAAGGTAAATGTTGTGGCTTCTACAGATGTGCTCAAAACGGCATGATGTTTTACTCTCAAACCATTAAAATCTTTATGAAAGGAGAAGTTGTTTTAACCTTTAACACTCCTACACAAGATAAAGAAAGATGATTTTCAACATATTCTGTAATGAAAGATCTGTACTTAATGTAATGAGGTAAGTTTGTGAATGGTTGAATGGCCCGTTTTTAATTTAACACAGATAAAACGTGATTTGTATCTGCTATTAACAGACCTGACCACAAGAGGGAGCAAGAGGTCCGTCAGTTAGTGTTAGATATTTTTTAAGGGCCTCAACAGTTCAGTTCAGGTTCATTTTACCTGATGGCTATCATGCAGAGTGTCACACACATGTTGTAGTAATATGCATGAAAGCTGTTGCTCTGCTACTAATCCAGTCAGGTTTCTTATCAAACCCAGTCTAGGGATAAAGGGTGTCCTATATACTGCAGAGATTGTAAAGGCATAAGAGACAAATGTATCATTTTGTGCTATATAAATAAAATTGACTTGATCTGAAAATATAAATCAAGAAAAGATTTTCAGAATGGGCTCAGGTGCTGTAGTTAAAAACCCCTGAGGATGTTTTTGTACCAAACAAGGTTTTCAAGTATTTTTAGGACTGATGAAGAGTTGGGGGTAAAGCACCGGGGGCCACCCTGGTCCTGCTTCTCACCTCCTTAAAAAAAGCCAAGGTATGTCCGTGGTTGATCTCACCTGTGTCATTAGTCGCTCCAACCTCTGTCTGCTTTCCAAGAGAGACTACATCAAAAGCTTCAGAGTGAAAAAGAAATGTGTTCTTGTGCAGCTTAAAAAAATGAAGCTTCTGTGTGGCACTCTTCTGGTTACTAGACACCAGATAAAACTGTTTCCTGATGGTTCACACAAGAAAAAGGCCCAGTGACATCAATACATATAATTAGCTGCTTAAAGCTGTTTTATTTCCTTCTAAAAAAAAATCGTGTTATACTGATATAAAAAGGAGTGTTTGAATATGTCCTCTATTCCAGGACTTAGATTTTATTTGCATAAATGTAACTGTATTTATGTAAATAACTTTATTAAACGTATAACTTATCTTTGTATTTGAACAGGCTCTGCTTCCAGAGAGGTTGAGCAAATACAAGAATCTGAACGTAATCTGAATGTAACTGGAATCCAGCAAACTCCATTACATTCCAGTTAAAAGTCCTTGTTTCTACAGTAGCCCTGAACGGACAAACTTTAGATTATTATGACTTTAGGATTTTAATGTTGTAGTTGAGGTGAAGCACATTTTGAACTGCTTTCAGTACTGCAACTAATGATTATTCTCATTATGGATTAATCTGATTAATATCTATGAAAAATTAAATGATCAAAATAGTTTCCAATTAAATTTCCACCAATCGACTGTCTCATCTTTACTTGTACGTACTGTTGGGACGTTTATTTTATAACAAAACAGCATATTTTATAAGCTCTTTGTCTGATTTTCACACAAAAAATATTCAACTAGTAACTAAAACTGTCAAATGTAGAAAACAGTTCTTCATTCTGAAATGTAAATGGTCTTCTATTTCTACACATTCAAATAGAAAAAGGAAGTAAAGTCCTAATAATTATTAAGGAAGTTGTGGTCTGGAGTATGTGGCTGATTATCATTGTCCAATAATTAGAATACCTTTTGAGGCAAACACAAAGCCGCTGGCTCACTACCATCAGTGTGTGAGTTACATGAGGAGTTTCTTTACAGGTAATGAGGCGTTCAGAACAACAAAGATCCAAAATAATGCTTACAGAAACACAATGTACGGCAGATGAAGTTGGGTCACAGCCGGTAAATTAAATCAAGTTGCCAGATTCAACTTGGTAGTAATGTTGGTGGGATGGTCAGTCAGTCCACCACTTCGGTCCAGAGTCTGTAATATTGGAGGAATCAACCTTGCTACATTTAGAACAAAAAGAAAATGCACATACATCTATGTTCCCCTCATTTATTTGGTGATTCTTTGACTTTTCATCTTTTCATCATGATTACAGCAGGAGGGAAAATGAGAAATAACAGAGGTGAAAAAACAAACTTAAAGGAGATTTATTGTTCTGGTTAAACAGTATTCTGGTTGTTTGACCATGTTTCATTTTGAATTTATAAGTCTGAAGGTTTAAGGCTGAAGCTGAAATCTAGAATTTGAAAGGAAAAAACAATACACCTTATTTAAGGTTTAACAATAACCTGTGGCCCAGTGCAGTTCACTTGTCCATCCCTTTTTAGTGGAATACCTCCAACATGTGTGTGTGTGTGCCTGGTCCACCCCATCACGGCCTATTAATAGCAGAGAATGAGTTATTCATTTGAGAAACATGTCAGCGTAGTGTCATCACATTTATATCATTTGTTGGAAGTTATAGTTATTACCATCAAGGGCGTGTCCAGAAGTGGGCCACTGCCAGGCGCCTCCAGCAAGCTCTCGCCCCCGTGAGCCTAACCCAAACCCTGTATCCAGCCTCCGGTGAGCTCTGGAGACATTTCAGTATGAGTGGCTCTACACCGTGGTCACGCTTCAACTGTCTTTACTTCTGACACAGCAAAAACAGTATAAAATATATGAATGACAGAAAATAAGCTGTTGTTACAGTTTCGTTTTTAGGGAGAGTGCAAAAACATTTAAAAATGATCAGATAATATATCTTTAATAAAGTGGACTTGGTGATAAACAGCGTCTTAGTAAAAAAATTCAACCTGAAAATTACATTTTTATATAAAGCTCAGAGTAAGTTCAATCAGAAAGACCTTGTTTTGTTCATTCATTCACAATTCTCTCTTTTTTTCTTTCTCTACTCGACTATGGGCGGTTACTCTTCAGTTAACCAACCAGTTTCAGCCTCACTTTCCATCAGCCAATCACATCCTTACTTACACAATAACATGAAGCAATGGAGCAATTTTTGTTGTTGTTTTCCCCTTTTGTATCACCGACATGTGGTTTCCAATGGATTTACATATGGTACAGTGAGAAATACCAACGCACTCAAGTATGAGGCAAAACTTGAAATGCAACTTGAAGTCATAGGTCATTACATGGGTTAGTCATGCATGCAGTTTTCTTTTTATTGAAACCACATTTCCCGTAAGCCTCCTGTTTTTTGGGGCCATCTACCATTTGCAGTCACCTTGAGCAATGAGAATTTACAAGGCTAACATTAATTAATTGGTGCAAAACAATAATTTAATGTCACAGTGACGCTCACTGAGTACTTTCCATTCCCTCGCAATAACATTAATGTAACTGATTATGTAACTTACTGCGATGTGTCTGGAAAATAAAGATATAAAACCAATTGTGCTGATAGTTTTCACAAATATTTACGCTCTCAGGTGAAAAACTTCATACCTGCAACTTCATGCATTACAGCAACATGTTGTGTCAGTGAGCCTCCACGCGAGGAATGTAATCTCAACATCTGCTGCAGCAGTTGCTATAACCTGTTTTACTTGCTGTGACATTCTTTAGAAGACCTGTAATGATGTCTATTATTATAATTATATACTTGAAGTTTCTTGTTGTGCCACCCCAATCATAATGCCCCTGCATCTGTGTCTGTAACAGGGGCGCAGGGTGGGATACCGGGAGAATGATACAAGCTGCATTTATTGTCATCTGCTCAGGTTTCACAATAAAACCATTTGAAAATAAGCCAAACAAGTATTCAGTTTGATTTATGTAATCACTTTAATATTTAATTGGACTATAATGCATTTTCTTAATGACATATCTCTAAATTTAAATGTATATACCAGAGAAAAAACATCACATTCTAATACAATATTTCCTCCATCAACCTAATAAAACAAGCTTACATTGGACATTTCACACACCATGTTGTCGTAAGATGTGCTGTAGTGACGTTGTGAATGTCACAGAATAGAGGGATATTTTAACATAGGGAAAATAAAGTAACCCTGATTCACAATTACCATCATAGTGAATGTACTTCTTTAATTTACCTTCTCTATACATCGGATTTATCTTTGTCTCTTACCCTGATTAACTTTTAACAAACCGGGTTGCCAAGTGTAAATCCTCTGATTTCATGTACTGTAAGTGCAGTGATTAAAAGCACGTGCTGTCTGTTCTTGCAGAATAACTTTCAATTAAGAAATGAAATGCACGTCTCCACCTGTCTCTGAGTAAAGCTGTAACACGTGGGACACACCCAGTACAAACCGCAGTCCTCCGCTGCAGCAGATGTTTCAATTACACGCCTCGCTTAATGGCATCCTAACGGAGGGAATGCTGTTGCTTTAACTACATATAGTTTACAGGTTCTATCCAATAATATAAACAGCATATTGACATCTCTTTTATTACCATGCAACCCAAAATAGAAAACAGATAAACGGACAGTATTGAAGACACTCAAGTAGTCTCCATACAGTTGGAGTGGCAGTTTGATGTAATCACTGCAATATTGAACCAAAAACATCCAATTCTAAAATAATATTTCTTCCTGCTCCACATGAATAAAACAAGCTTCATGGGGACATTTCACACACCACGTTTTTGTCCCTTGTTGGGACCAGTTGTCTGTAGTTCGACACCGTTTCTACTCAAACACTGATGTAAGGTGTGCTGTGGGGACGTCGTCAGTGTCCCAGCACAGAGAGATAGAAATCCCTGATCTCTACTAACCGACCTTTATCATGTCATCATATTGTCTGTATGTCTGTCCATTATGTTAATCATGTCTATCTTCAACTCATTTGTTCGCCACTATTTCACTAATAAAACAGTAAAACCATGGTAAAGGCACTCATTGTGCAGAACGCCTTATTTCAGAACATTATATGATAATTATTGATGCATAATGTATGTATAACGTAAGGTTGCAGTATAAGATATAAAGACGAGATTTGTTTTAATGTATTTATTTATTATAAGGAGCTTGGAGGGTTTTTCAATCTTTCAAATCATGTTTTCTAATGAACATACATTTTTGACTGCCACAGTGATTCCTTTACTGAAGGACGCTTTCTTCCACATGCACGTGCTCACATGTGAAAACTTCAGAGGGGAAGATGAGCC